TGGCGAATATCCGTATTTCGAACCGTTCATCTACCTACCACCTCGAACCCTTAGGGACTATTATGAGGTCATCAAGGAGCCATTGTCGCTTAAGGCGCTACAGAAACAAGTCCGAGGTCAGCATGGCAGAGGAGGGGCAACATACGTGACCGATTTCAAAAGCTGGGCTACTTTTGAAGACCAGGCCAGTTTAATCTGGAAGAATGCCTACCATTATAATGAGGATGGGAGTGAGATATCCCTCATGGCCCAGGAGCTTGAGGTAAGGTTTTCTATCTTATTTAGTCAAATTTTGACTGACTGTTGTAGCAACTGTTTCAAGAGCACCTAAGGGAGGCCAAGCTTCATGTTCCAGAGCCGCCACAGCCACAGCCAAAGATCAAGCTGAAGATGCCACCCAACTCGGAAACTCCTGTACATCCTAAGAAGATTACCATTCATGTTGGCGGTAAGAACAGCGCTACAGGATCGCCAGCCCCGGTGACAGGCCAATCTGGCGAAGGGGAGATCACTCGTAATGGTACACCTATAAGTAGAAATCCCTTTGGCGGTTCGACGGCAACTTCAGTCAGCCTGAGCCAACTCGAGAAGGCCAGAAGTATGTCCGCTTCTGCAGGTCCTCCTAGTCCGTCGGCCGCAGGGGTAACGAAGTCCGAGGATGCCGTTCGACCATCCCTAGCGTTCACGAACTTTCAGCAATTCGCACCCCCGGCGATACCTCCTGCTTCGAATACTCCACCTAGCGCCCTGCCGAACTCCGTACCTAACGCCATACCAAATGGCGTCCTTCCTACACCTCCACCGCCGCCGCCCCCACCACCTCCTCCACCAGCTCCAAAGTTGTCAGCTGCAGAAATCCTCGAAGCCCAGAAATACCGACCGCACCCAATTAGTAAGAATTCTCCTTTAGATGCCGTGTTTGTATATTATTAACCAAATCACAGAGGAATCGGATGCTATCCTGCCCAAGCTTATCATCATGTCTCATCCTGAACTCCAGATTGAGAATCGAATGTCAATCACGATTCCGGCTAGTCTTACTGAAACCCAGCAAGAGTTTGTTCTAAATGCCCCTACCAGTTATTACCGCCTCCGACTTAAGCCAGAGGTGGCACCATTCTTGGAGGCTCAGCAGCGTGAATGGAAATTGAATGTGATACATAATGGTGCGCGTCTATACCCTCCCCAAAGTCACCCTAACAAACCAGGCGAGCCTATTTTCGACGTTACTCTACAATTTGGCCTTAATCGCCTCGAAGTATCTTTGGTAGCAGCTCTTCCGAAAGGACAGAAGGCACCTAACGGATTAACTGTGGAAATGGAGAAGTTTGTAGTACATTTTAACGTGCTCAGACATTGACAGCGGGCGCTTTGATTGAAAGTACTGGCAACTAGAATATAGTTCAGTTGTTGCCTTACATGGAATTATCAGTCTGCGTTTCTATGGTTGGCTTTTGGAGTTGTGCTCGGTGGAATCGGAACGAATAGGTTCTAACTACTCAGGTAAATTTTGGCCGATGAGGCAATATACATATTTGTACGTCTAGGAGGTTCATTGCGGTGGAAACTTGCTGGCGGTCCCCCTGACAATTTCGGGAATGACTCGTTAGTTAATTGCGTTGCCTTAGTCTTAGTTATATAAGAATGAATCCCAATTCTTGCAAATCAACTAGTTTCTACGGGTCAATGCAAATACAAACAAGGTTTATCCAAGAGAGATTATATGCAACTAAGCCTACATAGACATAACGTATGTTTACATCCATATACGTTGGGAATTGTTGAATATGCCCTGCTTAAATATTTTCATCGCCTTTAAAAAAATTAATAGATATTTAAGGACCCTTTTTTGGTGGGGTGGAGATAGGTTAGACAGTCTATTCAACCAGTGATAGCCCAGTCCAAAAGGCTGGACCCTGAACTTAAACGGCCCCTCCGAGTACGTACCCTAAGACGCTAAACCGGAATTATATTAGTTCCGGCGGCAAAGGTGGGATGGGGAAAAACAGAAAAAAAAATTTGAGAATTGTAATTATTTTCACCGCCCGCATAAAAATTCGTGAAATCCCCCCTCCATAACATCCCCCTCCATACCTTACCTTCTGGTCCATCGTCCCCAGAACAATTTCTTCCCGCAACATCCAACTGTATCTGTGAACTTGTTCAGTTGAAAAGAACCCTCATAATGGCGGAAGAAGTCTACGACGGTGCCATCGGCATTGATTTGGGTAAGTTTTCACAATCTCTTCTTCACCATTCACCCCGCACCTTGACATGTCATTCTGTCGCATTATGACCTGTTGGGATATTTTATGCTGTAATGAGCACCCACTAACATTTACCACCTTTGTGTGAATAACAGGCACAACCTACTCCTGTGTTGCTGTCTACGAGGGCAACAATGTCGAGATTATTGCCAACGAGCAGGGTAGCTTTACTACCCCTTCTTATGTCTCCTTCAACGAGAAGGAGCGCTTGATTGGTGAGGCTGCCAAGAACCAGGCTGCTATGAACCCGCGAAACACAGTTTTCGATGTCAAGTACGTTTTGACCCCGCGCCCCAGAATTTCCCTTTTTTCTCGCAAAACCAAGCAGCTAATTTGTTTTGCGACAGGCGTCTGATTGGCCGACCTTTCAACGACCCCATCGTCAAGAAGGATATTGAATCATGGCCTTTCAAGGTCGTCGAGCAGGGTACCAACCCTCTCGTCCAGGTTGAATACCTAGGAGAGACAAAGACTTTCTCTCCTCAGGAAATCTCTGCCATGGTCCTTACCAAGGTAATTTAATACAACCATGTATAGCGCTGAATAACAGACTAACGCAATTTATATAGATGAAGGAGATTGCCGAGGTCAAGCTCGGAAAGAAGGTTGAGAAGGCCGTCGTCACAGTCCCGGCTTACTTCAACGACAACCAACGTCAGGCCACCAAGGATGCCGGTTCCATTTCTGGACTTAACGTGCTCCGTATCATTAACGAGCCTACTGCCGCTGCTATCGCGTACGGTCTAGGTGCCAACAAGTCTAACAAGGAGCGCAACGTCCTTATCTACGATCTTGGTGGTGGTACTTTCGATGTATCGCTTCTTAACATCCAGGGTGGTGTTTTCACCGTCAAGGCCACTGCTGGTGACACCCATCTTGGTGGACAGGACTTCGATACCAACCTTCTTGACCACTGCAAGAAGGAGTTCCAGCGTAAGACCAAGAAGGACATCTCTGGTGACCCGCGAGCTCTCCGAAGACTTCGGACTGCTTGCGAGCGTGCCAAGCGAACCCTGTCCAACGGTGCCCAAACCACCATTGAGATTGACTCGCTTTTCGATGGCGATGATTTCTTCCTTCAGATTACCCGTGCTCGTTTCGAAGACTTGAATGCCAAGGCCTTCAACGGCACATTAGAGCCTGTTGCCCAGGTCCTAAAGGATGCTGCTGTCGAGAAGAGCGCTGTTGACGAGATCGTGCTTGTTGGTGGTTCTACCCGTATCCCTAAGATTCAGAAGCTTCTCAGCGACTTCTTCGATGGTAAGAAGCTAGAGAAGAGCATCAACCCTGACGAGGCTGTTGCGTACGGTGCCGCCGTCCAGGCCGGTATCCTCTCCGGCAAGGCCACCTCGGCCGACACCTCCGACCTTCTCCTTTTGGACGTTGTTCCTCTATCCCTCGGTGTTGCTATGGAGGGTAACATCTTTGCCCCCGTCGTTACCCGTGGTCAGACCGTCCCCACGATCAAGAAGCGAACTTTCACCACTGTTGCCGACAACCAGCAGACCGTGCAGTTCCCCGTTTACCAGGGTGAGCGTGTCAACTGCGAGGATAACACCTCCCTTGGAGAGTTCACATTGGCACCTATCCCCCCTATGCGTGCTGGAGAAGCCGTTCTTGAGGTTGTCTTCGAGGTCGATGTCAACGGTATCCTGAAGGTTACCGCTACCGAGAAGACCTCTGGTCGCAGTGCCAACATCACCATCTCCAACTCGGTTGGTAAACTCTCGTCGACTGAGATCGAGAGCATGATCAACGGTAAGTTTTATTTTTGTATTGCTTAAGTCGCTGGAGCATAACTAACTCTACTTAATAGATGCCGAGAAGTTCAAGAACAGCGATGAGGCTTTCAGTAAGCGATTCGAGGCTAAGCAACAGCTCGAGTCCTACATTAGCCGTGTTGAGGAAATCATCTCCGACCCCACCATGTCCCTCAAGTTCAAGCGTGGCCAGAAGGACAAGATCGAGCAGTCCCTTAGCGATGCTATGGGTCAGCTTGAGATTGAAGATTCCAGCGCTGATGACCTAAAGAAGAAGGAGCTGGCCCTGAAGAGACTTGTCACCAAGGCTATGTCCTCCCGATAAAGGAGTCTCTCATTATTTGGCGAATTAGGTCATGGATTATAGATGGGCGGCTGGCTAGGGTCCCTAGAGTCTCCCATAGGTGTTTTTGATGCACATCTGCGCTGGATTAACATTGGTATCCAGAGGGGGAAAAATAGGACTTGATGGTTCATTCGGCTTGGTGAGACACGAGGGAAAACATAAAAGTCTTCCAGGATGGTCTTACGCTTCCATGGTCCTGTTACCCACTATATCCCCTTCCCCTCACGAAAAACAACCAACATCGGCTGGTTGGCGGCGTATTTGCATGTAGACTAGGGAAAAAGTGACCCAACAGGGATGATTGCACAATGAATTTAATGTCTCTCACGTTAACTTTTTTATCTTTCTCATTTTTAAAGTGATCTCCTGTCTGCAGATGGTGTTCTAAACCGATTACCTTTCGATTCTCTTTAGTCGAGATACCTCTTCGTGGATAATGTCGTGATGTGACCTAACAACCCCCCCCGCAGCTATCGGTACTATTTAACGCGATTCTCCAAGGTTGGGGTCCCGCATATTAGTGTAGTTGAAATGAATAATACTAAATACAAGTCATCTTATTGGGTTGTGATTTCGACTTATACACAACACATTCTATAAAATTTCTCCTATATTATTGATTTAGCTATGTCATCAAGCACCCAGGACGACAAAGATAAGTCCCAAGCGGATGCGGAGCTCAACGGAGACTATGATCTGTCACAGGCGATTGACTCGCGGCAGGGGATGCGGCAGGGACTGACATCGTACGGCGATGCGCACTTCTCTCTGTTCCTACGCAAGGTGTTTATCAAGGCGCTAGGGTATTCAGAGGATGCGCTGTCGCGGCCGATTGTTGGTATCGTGAACACATTCTCCGGGTTTAACCCGTGCCATGCCAACGTGCCGCAGCTTATAGATGCAGTGCGAAGAGGAGTGCAACTTGCAGGAGGGCTGGCTGTGGATTTCCCGACGATCAGTTTGCATGAGTCGTTTGCGGCGCCGACGAGCATGTACCTTAGGAACTTGATGAGTATGGATACCGAGGAGATGATTAAGGCGCAGCCGGTTGATGCTGTAGTGTTGGTGGGAGGTGAGTGTGTTTATGATTTTGGTTAAGGCGTAGGTGCTGAACAGAACAATAGGATGCGATAAGACGACGCCGGCACAGCTCATGGGCGGGATATCGGCGAATAAACCGATCCTGCATCTTGTTACGGGGCCGATGATGCCGGGTAGCCATAAGGGCGTCCGGATCGGGGCGTGTACTGATTGTCGGAATAATTGGGCGAGCTTTCGAGCTGGTGTTATTGATATCGAGGAGATTGCGGCGCTGAATGAGGAGCTTGCGCCAACGGTAAGTGCTATAACCTAGATATTCATTTAAGAAATTGGGTTGAGATGTGCTGAATTATAGGATATAGGCTGGCACGTGTGGAGTTATGGGCACGGCGAGTACAAGTGAGTATTTTTTCAAGATTTTCTATTATCCCCTTTTCACTATTTGCTTCCCAACTGATTAGTTTTATAGTGGCGTGTATACTAGTCGGACTCGGTCTCATGCCATTTAAAGGGGCAACAGCACCAGCCGTATCATCGGCTCGTCTACGAATTGCGGAAGAGACGGGTGCTACCGCTGTGAAAATTATTTCAGCCGGCGACAAGTTAAAGCCGCAGGCCTTACTAACGCGGGAGTCGTTCCTTAACGCTATCATCGTACTACAAGCCATTGGCGGCTCTACGAACGCTGTGGTGCATTTAATGGCTATTATTAACCGGCACCCTGCTGTTGCGGGAACAATCAATCTTGACACCTTCGACGAAATTGGGCGTCTCACTCCTCTTCTTGTAGATCTGAAACCCAGTGGTTCTAACTATATGACCGATTTCCATAATTCGGGCGGCATGGCTGAACTGCTAAAGGAGTTGAGGCCACTTCTACACTTGGACGCGCTGACGGTCTCCGGAAAGACGCTTGGTGAAGCACTGGATAGAGAGCGCTCAATATCGGTGCCGCAAGAACTACGTTGTATCCAGCCCTTCGATACTCCTCTTTATCCAGCTTCCTCGATAGTCGTGTTACGCGGTAATCTCGCACCTGGGGGGGCCGTTATGAAAGCGAGTGCGTCCAAAGACCGTCGGCTCCTAAAGCACTCTGGGAAAGCCGTAGTATTTGCCGGGTCCGCGGACCTAGCTGTACGTATTGATGATGATAACCTAGAGGTCACGCCCGACAGCGTGCTAGTGCTACAGAACATTGGACCGGTTGGTAACCCAGGTATGCCGGAGGCTGGACTGGTGCCAATCCCGCGGAAATTAGCAGCGCGCGGAGTCACAGACATGTTGCGGGTTTCGGACGGACGGATGAGCGGTACGGCTGGTGGCACCATAGTGCTACATATCTCTCCAGAAGCGGCGAACCCGGAGTCCGTGCTGGGGATTGTAAGGGATGGCGATGTGATTACGTGCGATGTAGAGAAGCGACTCTTGCAAGTGGAAATTAACGATGAGGAAATTGAGCGTAGGAGGGAGGCTAGACGTGTGGAAGTAGAGAAAGATGGTTCACAGCACCCCTGGAAGATGAGGGAGAAGATGAGAGGATATAGGGGCTTGTATATGAGGTCGGTTAATGAGGCGGATCAGGGGGCGGATTTTGACTTTTTACGTGCTGAAGGGTCGGGGTAACGATTCATCACGTAGAAATATTTACTGTGCTATTATAAGCCATATATTGATAGTCATCGTCAGGGGCGCCATCGAAAGTAGTGCTTTTATTGAATAGAGATGTCATATAAATAGCCGGAATACCAACGCTCTCCAAGGGCTCATTGATCTTTAACAACAAGAGCATGTTTTCCGACTTTCTTCGCTTCTTCATTTAACGCATCGACCTCGGCTCGCACCAACGGGATTCCCGTCTTCTCCCTCTGCTCCTGCGTCAACTGCTCGATCTCGCCCGGGAAGTATATCCGCTCGACACCGGCGGCTTTATCCGAACCAACAACTCGTTGATATAGGAAGTCCATCCTCTCTCGGAAATCGTCGAGGCTCATGAACAGGTCCGGTTTGATAGCTACGAGGAAGTGCCCGACATCTGATGCTTTGCTTGGGTCATATGGGCCTGTAACCCCGCCTGCGAATGCCGAGCCTATACGTTAAGATTAGAAGAAAGCTAGGGTAAATATGTTTCCCAATGGATTCCTTACCTGATAATACCCCTGAGAAGACGTCCATCATAATAGCTAGCGCCGAACCCTTAGGTCCTCCCATAGGAAGCATAACTCCCTCCAAAGCCGCAGCCGGATCATCCGTCGGTCTCCCTTCAGCATCTAAAGCCCAGTCCAGGGGAATCTTCTCTCCCCTCCTCTTAGCCTTATAAATCTTACCCCTGGCTGCCACAGACGGTGCCATGTCCAGTATAAACGGCTTCTCCTTCCCCCCAGGAGCACCGCAAGCAACAGGCGACACACCCATGAGCTTGCTCTTACCCCCGAACACAGGTAGCGCGGGGCTCGAATTAGTAAACACCAGGCTCATCATTCCGGCATCGATAGCCTGCTGGACGATCCAGGCGCTCATGCCGAAGTGGTTCGAGTGCTTGACGCTGACCATGCCGATGCCGAACTCGCGCGCCATGTCGCAGGCCGTGCGCATCCCAACCTCCGCCGCCAGGAATCCGAAGCCGTTGCGCCCGTCGACCTGCGCGACGACAGGCGTGACTTTCGAGACGTCTGGGGACGCGGTAGCGTCGAGTACGCCGTTGCGCACTCGCGCCATGTACGACGGGATCCGGTTGATGCCGTGCGTGTCAACGCCCCGCAAGTCCGCTGCCACGAGACATCGCGCTACAATGGCAGCGTTGGGCTCCGGTACACCATTTTCCACAAGAATGCCCTCGATAAACTTTCGGGCCTCGGCGGCTTCGACGTAAAGTTTAGTGTCGGACGGAGGTTGAGCTGCTGATGTCTCGGCCATGTTATGTGGATTAATAAGATTAGTGTGGAATGGAATAAGGCGATGCCAATTTTGAGTGTTCAGACATGAGATTCTGATGATTAAATTTGTAATGTATAAGCCCGTATACATAGCCCGGATTACCTGTTCCGAAGATAGACTCGTCCGACCTCGGACTCGGTGCCGTTACCGAGATGACTCCAACGGAGCGGAGCTATACCGAGGTTCTCCGCTTCTATAGCTATCTAGGTAGGTAGTATAAGACAAACCCATTCATAGTTACGAGATAGTCGAGAACAGATTAGTGAGACTTTACTGGGTTTTCATTAGCATACTTTTTTCTTTTTTCTATTAAAATTAGAATTAGGTAACTTAGGATTGCTGTTAATAGAAATATTCTCATCGCGCTTAACCTAGGAGTTCAGGACGTCGAAGGTAGGTCTAGTTCCGGAAACATTCTGACTGTAAGACAAATCTATAAAAGTGACCGACCATATGTGCTAGCAGGCCGCGGAAACTTTTCTCGGGCACTTTACATGTATTTTGATCAGGATATGGACTAAGATAGCTATATTTAAGAATGGAATGGAGGACTACTTTCAGAATGTCTAGAGTATCTAGGTAGCTCTAACAAAATTACGAATTGAATTTTAAGAAAAGAATGGCGCACCTAGAGCTTTTTCTCTTCACATGGGGTCTCTACCCTCGCCGTATACTCATCTACCTTCACGAAAAGGGGCTCTTCAACTCCCCACACATTAAAGTCACACAGGTGACCATATCTGCTACTGCTGAAATGATAGCACCAGGAAAACCCAAGGGTACCGTGCCTATTCTAGTCTTGCCAGATGGAACTTTCATCAAGCAATCAGTGGCGATTCTAGATTACCTCGAAGACATATGCGACAAGCCTGAGGAAGCCTGGCAACAGGATATCGCATCCGCTGCGAAGACCTCCATGCGAGGGAGCAATGCGCGTGGTAGAGCGACGATAAGAGAGATTCTTGCGTTGGTAGACGAAGCTACATCTATGTTTGGGTTTGCTTGTCATAAAGGCAGCAAGCTCTTCCTAGAGATAGAGCCTACAAACTCAGCTGCATCGAGCATGGCTATGGGTATCGTAAGGAGGAATATGAAACTTCTTGAGCCTTACTACGAGGGTCGATTTGAAGGAGATAGTTCCGAAGCCGAGAAAGTTACTATAGCAGACTGTGTCTTTTTCTCGTTTTTGCAGTTCTCAAGGGAACTATATGGGGTCGATCTGGTAGCGGATTCGGAGTTGAGAAATCTGAGGAGGTTCTATGTTACATTTAAAGAGAGGGAAAGCGCTAAGATCCCCGAGGACTTTTACCCTCTGTATATCAAGGAGCTTGCTCCTATCTGGCTGGAGTGATGGTTATAATAGAAGGGGTATATAAGGATGTTGTATAGAAGAAGGATCACACAAGAGTAGAAACAATCGACTCTAGGTATACGTGTCTATAGGCTTGAGCAAGTTAATATTGGACCCGAGATTTAAGATGGATGGGTAGAACTGGGTACCATAAAGAGTTTAAAACCAATTTCTTAAGAGAATATAGATCTTAGTATTAACCTATAGCAGCTGTCGCACACGTGTCAACCTACCTAAATAGTATACTCTACCATACATTATTCACATATGTATAACCCCTAATAAGAGGTATTGAGTCTACTTTTGAGCTTAATATTACCAAAACAAAGACACCATCATGTCTTTTAAATATGATACGTAAGCTAAATATGACTTTATAGTGTAGCAAAGGCACGCCCAAGAGCACGATTGGGTATAGCTTATACTACAACAAGTTATCAGTAAGGCGTCACTTAGGTGTGTCCAAGAGAGTTATCCGAATGTGGTTCACGCTTGACCATATCTGGGACGATGCGTATTGCACCGTACATTGAACCCTGTCAACCCGTAGCGGTGTGTATATCTATTTTGTTCGACCCACCTCTTAACTTCAATCTATCTTCGAGGTTTAGCCAGGAACAACGGCGATCCTCCCGTGCTGTTGGGACCACGTGGCAGTATAAAAGGGCTACAGCACAGCTTAACTTATTGCTTTTGCTTTTCTTATACTCTTGGAAGGAAATGATCGGACTCTTCCAACCAAGTGCTAATGACTACCTGTCTAGCGGATTCAAACCAGACCTGTAGGAAACGTAAGTAATCTAGGTACCACCATGAGCGGGTTTGTCAAGATTCTGCTAGAACTGGTTATATGCGTGGCTACGCGGCTTAAGTGGGAATATGCAAAGCATGTGTTAAGAATCCACAGAAGCTAGATTTATCATGGGATATCACATGAGCGGAGCAGAGGAGACGATATATTTCCTATTTCCATATACTACTTTCATGTAAATGCATTTGGCACGTACTGTGACAGTATCGAAGCCCTAGTATCCCTTCCTATGTCGTCCGTAGCAGGTCCCCTTTACCGAATGAATCCAAACTCAGTAGTAGCATCCAGTTAAGCAATGCTTGGGGGTTCATTGACCACATCATCCTTCTTGGCGATATTCGGGGGCTCATTGACGATATCCTCATCTCTCCTGGCAATGGAAGGAGACTCATTAACTATATCTTCCTCCCGCCTCGCAATAGAAGGGGGTTCATTGACTACCTCATCCCACCTAGTAACGAGAGAGCTCTCAGCGACCGCTGCTTCTATTAAAAACAATTAGTCCCCGAAGGTTCAAGATGATTGTCTCTTTCTATGTGTTAAGTGCTTAACTTACTGAATGGAAGCGCTGTGGCTGCTGATATAATGGCACATGCCAGTAGGAGAGGCTTGCTAAGAAACATGTTGATGTGAGATGTAATTTGTAGGCGAACACAAAGTTATTGTGTTATGTCAGTATGATGTCTTCGAGTTGGAGGTTGTTTTGGTATCCGTGGCCCTGGAGTTCTTGGCTAACCGTCGGTTCGGGAGGATGTCAATATATGCTGAAGAATTTCCAAAACTCGGGTTCGCATAAACAAAAGTAGGTGATATGTGACTGTCCATACAAGAGCGGGTCAACTACTCCTTGAGCCACAGGTGTTGGTGCCCTCGATGAAACTATTGGCTGTGATGGAGTTGAATAGACGTGTCTATGCAAGACGAAGGCGCTACGAGGAAATGCCGCCGTCACATCGAAAGGAATATTCCGTTGTGTGCCTTGACATATGGTTGGTGATTGCTGTGTGGTTTATTCTTCAATGCGACAGCGACGCATATCTGTGCTACCATGTGATTCCCTAATATCTCAATGATCTGGATCCCGCCTTATGCAAGCCCAGTACCGATGACACCCTGGACACCTTATACGGAAGGATCATCCGCAACCGTTCCATTGGGAGATGCTTGATGTCTATACTCGCACGAAAGGACTTACCGACATGCCCCATCTTATTTGCCTCTACTTTATGCCAATAGCTTCCTCTTCATTTCTTGTAGTTTCTTCAGTATAGTGAATAGAAATCCTGCCTGGGCTGGTACTCTATAACTACAATGACCGAAAAACACGAGTATAAGCCCTTGATGGGCGAAGAAATAAGTGAAGAAATTCAAGGCCTCGAAAACCAACATCCTATGAGGATAGAAAAATGCATCAAGCGGCCAAATCGGTTGAACATAGTTCTAATAATACTCATTTTCCTCTCGCTCTCTTTAAATATCTTGCAGATCAGCCTCTACAAGGTATTACTCTCACATAACGCTCGGTGTGAGTCGGAGACGTATCGAACAAAATATGGTATAGTTCTTATGTCTCCCAGTAATACGAAGGAACTTTACTTACATATTTTCTAGCTGGGTTAAAAGAAGGCGAAGTAGATGTATTTTGGAACCAGAAAGGCGCCTACACGGACTCAGATGATGATGTACGAGATCGCCTTTGGGATAGCCTCGACTTCGACCCGGGTGTCGTTGCCGTACCTAAGTTATGGGCGGCAGAGAAGGGCCTGGATGAAGGCGCAACCTTTCCTTGGGATTCCAGCAAATCTCTTTATTTCGTGAACGCTTATCACAGCTTACACTGCATCGTATGGGACCCAGATCGTTTCAGTCAATTACATACTAAAACTCCTCGCAGAAACAAGTTTATCGAGCTTTCAGAGACTACCGAATGGGAAACCCTCCATCGATATCGAACGGACACGTAGTCCACTGCCTGGACCAGCTTCTTGCGGATATTAAGTGTCAAGCGGACGACACGCTCCGCGCCACAAACGTTTCGACTCCTCATAACTCGGCCGTGTATCAAACGCACAAGTGTCGTAACTGGGATGCATTAGAGAAATGGACGCAGACTTATCCGAGCTGTTACCGCTATGGGAACGGCACTTTCGAAGATAATCAGCCAAGCCAGCTTCCGAGATTTAGGTTTTGCCAGGAGGGTACTCCCGAGTTAGAAAAGGCACGGAAGTATTTTGGAAAGGGTCAGGACTGGAAGCCGATTGAAGAGAAGAAATTTAGCTGGGTTGATTAAGAATGTATAGATCTATACGTTAAGCCTATTCACTAAGTTCGGATATGTGATGATATATCGCATCTAATACGATACCCCAGTTCTACCATATATCCCCTTTCTCATACCTTAAGTACCAAGGTAGGTAGGTAGTCTTACCTTAAAGTTTGAGCCCATACCATAGTCAGCTACCGACAGGCCAAACTGTGTTTATCTAACTGAAAACCCTCATATATTTGCTTTCGGAGTTTATTATGGTGGCCTAACATATTATCCCAACCGTAGGAAATGGGTGCTGGCTCTAGTTTTTCGTTGATACTTGTTAAGCTTTACTATATATTGGGTAGTACAACATATGTGCGGTCACCATCATAGAAAGATATCACCTTGCCGGGCAGCTTATACCCGGAAAGATGCCCTCACTTGCTATCGTATAGATGTGATACACGCCGACTCTCACCTCTAGTCAAAATTCTTGGAGTACGTTATTATCCCTCAGTTGTGGCGCCTGCAGCACCAATCAACCATAAGGAAAAATCGTGGGTGTTGCCGATCATTCACATCCGGAGTCGAAAGACTTCTCATGATTGTGGGACGTTGTAAGTTGCGAGATGCATTGTGCTGTGCCATCGGGACGATACCCGTTGTCCCAGAGCGCAATATCGGATCGCCGTTAGGGACCTTTAGGATTGATCCTTGGAACTTAGATCTGGCAGATCTAAAAGAGCTTAATCAAGTAACAAAAGGCGAAACAAAAGATCTCGTACAAATAGGCCAACCACCTAAAGAGAGGCTTACGTACTAAATACCCGACGTTACAGAAGGCAAATTAGAATACATACGGGTTATGCAAAAGCAAAAGTGACAGCCAATACTCTAGAAGAACTACGTAGTGCTCCATTTGTATTATACCATGTCTGTGCACGATCCTTCCGGGCCGTGCCACACACCGACGCGATGCAACGCAACGTCGGTAATCATCTGACCGTGGGGGGGAAGAGATAATGGAGGTCAGCACTGTAGTAATCCTCAAACGCCACACCCGCTGCATGTTGGAGGCCCTGTTGAAGCGTTCTAAAGCTTATCCATTAAGCCTACGACAGCACTACTCAGCACACTGAATAGCACCGGTATATAGACACAGTGCAGCTTAAATCTTTGACAATCTGTGTTTGAATATGCCGTGTTGTATGTATGAAGACCCTGAAAGTGACAGCTGTAAGGGATATTTCCAACCTTATTTTATCCCCGTATATAGTGTCTTACACATAAGATTATAGAATATAGAACATAGTGCAACAACCCTAGTCAAATATGAATATAAAGATAGTAGGTAACTAAGTATATATACATATAGTTATAGGTATTTAATGAAGGCATGTACCAAAAGCTCTACGTCTAGACCAAGAGATTGAACTAGAAATCATAACAGGATACCTTGACTTTCTCACCATTCGAATTTCCGTTTGTCCCTTGATCTTAATGCTTGACCATATCTCATCAAGAGCAACGGGACAGGTATAAAAGCTAACGCAATAAAACCCAACACCGAGTTGCCCCAGCCGAGCCCTAGCTTTTGATACAATGGTGGCCCTGCGAGCGGAACAAAGGTTCCACCAAGATTTCTTAATACAGCACACCCGGCAATTGCGCTTGCAGCGTATATTCCAAATGCGTCAACGAGGTAGCTTCGCACCGGAATTGTAGTGGAAACAAGACCCATGCCCAGGATCCCGGTAGCGATTATTGGCGCCAAGAAATGTGTGTGAACCTCGGCTGTCCAACCGTACATGAATAAACCAACGGGAAGAATAAACCCGCCGAATATAACAGGCGGAAGACGTTGTTCAGGTTGAACATGTCCGGATTTGGCCTGACGACGAACCCAGAGATCGAGCGTTGCTCGGCAGAAGAAAACACCAATCACGCAGCCAATACCTACGTAGAGGTTAGCAAAAACTATGACGGTTAGACTCTAAGCTGCAACTCACCAAGTCCCAGAAAGCTGAGGCCGACTACGGTTGACGAAAAATTGTAAACAGATTCGAACACAGAGGTGATAGTTGTCATAACGAGGTAGAGATATCCATAAACCACAGCAACGTATAGGGACATTAGGAATAAAATGGGCGACGTGAAGAGCAATAACATAGGCCGTATACACGCGTTTTGAAGCAGTTGCAGCGCCGTATGATCCGTTTCGTACTTAGACTTTATGCTAAGATTATTCGTCTCCTTGCGGAGTTTCTTTGCTTTGCTTTTTAGGATCTGTACGGAATAGGTTTCACGCAGCAAGAGCAAAAAGCATATTTCGAGAAAGCCGCACAGGATGGTGATGAGCCAGAAACACCATCGCCATCCCATTGCGCCGCCAAGATAACCTCCTATGATAGGACCGACGACGGGCCCCATCATCGTAGCAAGACCTACTAATGACATTGCACTTCCTCGCTGTTCAACTCGGAAGAGATCACCAACAATACTAGGGTTGAGTGCCGTGGACACAACTGCCAGGCCATTCAGGAAGCGGAATGCTACCAGCATCTGGATATTAGTACTCAAGGCACAAGCGGCCGAGAATATAATGGAGAGGACATTGCCGGCGTGGTAAATATACAATCGTCCGTAGAGCTCAGAGAGAGGAGCGACGATGAGCGGGCCGAAAATTTCGCCAAGCTCCCAGACCGAGACAATAAAGGTTATGTAGAAATCATTTGTCTCGTTAAACTCGGCCAAGATCTGGGGTGCGACTGGCGCACAGATGATCGTCGCTAGAGATCTGAAAAGCCACGTTAGAAAATCAACTTATGCAGATGAGATCGGGCAAGGCTTACACTGCGAAATCCAACAGAGAGACTAAAACAATTAGCGACCACTTGAGTTTCGGGGACCAATTTTGAGAATTTGATAAGTCCGTCTCGTCGCCGAAGTCAACAAGGCCCCCTTGTCCGGCTTCTGATCCTTCCCGATCCGCGTCTATCGGCCTGGACGAAATTGAGGGGGAGGGGGCTTTTTCAGTTGCGTTTGAGGCTTCTATTAACTCAGCCGACTTGACATCGTCGGGGGATAGGTCGCTGGACTCGACCATTGCGAAATGATTGGTGTTAACGCGTGTAGTTACATAGAAGCATCGAAATGTGAGATGTATGCCAAGGAAGAAAGTCTCGGCTGCAGCATTCAAATGCTCGACCTACTTCAGGGGAACTGGTTGCGTGATAGTCTTCTTACCATATTTTACTTACCACCTTAAGTTACAAATCGCGACGCAAGTAGGTAACTCTCCGTTGAAAGATCTTCAAACAAACGGCCAGGGTATTCTTCAACATGTAGATAAGCTGTAAGATGACTCCAGATAGGCTTCTTATTACGATACGGAACTCTGATTGGTTGATATTTCATGTCGGATTCCGAAAAGGGTATACGCTAAGCCCGGCTCGAGTTCTGATTGGCCAGTCTCCGTAGTTGGATTTTCCCGAGACCTTTTAGTTTTACGAGATATCATTTTCCGTTCGTAGGAGTTGCTGATGTGCATCATTACATGGATTCGATACATCCATGTAGTTTTCAGGTTGTGGGACTTGGGGTAGGAAGAACTAGCATGGCACGTTCAATGTTAATTGTAATTCTATATCTATATTCTATTGGGTAGATTTACCATCCCTCGCATCCCTTGCATCCCTCTTCATAATGAACCCATGGATAGGACACTCGAGTCTTTTTCTCTCCGCGATAAATTCCTTACTTGGATTCTCTTCCTGGGCGTCCAGGTAGAAATCGCCAATAACGTAAAACCCTTGCTTTTCGTACGTGCGGCGGGCCATCTCGGTAGATTCGACGAAGGATTCCAGGCCGAGTTCATCTGCTTTTTGCGTCCCCCACTCTAACATCAAACTTGCGGCACCCCGCTTCCTGTGCGCCGAATGCACGAAACATAGTGATATCACTATATAATTTCCCGAGTGGTAAGCGGCCACACGAGGCCAAGAGATACAAGTGAAACTTACATATGTGCGGCTTGTTCATCAGGACTGGGCGATGTTTTCCTAGGCAGGCGAGGAGATGATCTCCGACCTGTCTTAAAGGACCTGGTGGATATCCTCGTTCAGTACCTGCATGTCGTTCCAATCTCTTGATTCTTCTGCAACGCACCTTCAGGTAGCCAAGAAGCCTTTCGTGCGGGTTGTTCGACTGCGTATGGATTTGTCTCGTAAATAATATATCGCGTGCCCCCAATCACTTCACCAGTACTTTCGTCGGTAACATAGACCCAATGACTACCAGGCTGGATTTTATGCCAGACTAATTGACGGGCACAAGCCTCTTCCGGCGAGGTGCCTTTGGTGAGTTCGAAGACGCCATTGAACGGGTTACTGTAGGCCTCGTGCTCTGCGGCGTTTATCGCTTTGAAGTCCTCATCGTTTGTAAGTTCGTGGAGCTTCAAAGACATGGCGAATGAAAATAGCAATAAGGGTATGAAGTGAGAAACCGGAAACCGGAAACCGGAATGGAGACAAGTTGAAGCTGAATATCAAACTCGAGATAAAGCATTCTCATTCATTCCCCTCCAACAAGTATAAGGACAGCCGATCCGATGTAGGATTCTATCACGTGCTGTATTCTCCTCCATATACCATAGTTATCATAATCCCGTTCGTAATGTATAGGTACTTGAATATAGATTAAGACTGGTTAGGTATCCAATCGCATTCGTATATGGATTGAACCAACAGACGTTATTATTCGACTAACGTAAGTAATGCTACAACATTTGAAATACGACCAATAACAAGTCTTTGCACCTACTTTATGAAGGTTACATCTTACCTACCTTACTTCATGTATACGGTGGATTTGAAAGTCTTGTAAGCGTTACATCCCCAATGCTTAGCTTAATGCTTAGCTTAATGCTTAGCACCTAAAGCACCCTATAACGGCGCTCTCGGCTTGCATTTTTGGTAGCAGCCAAGGTGACAGCCAACCTTCCTCTCGTGGTATTTTGTCGCATATGCATCGTCCTCGAGAAAACGTGTGTTCAATGCAACGCTTCTTTCTTTTCTTTTCTCTCCTCCCGGGATTAGACCTGCTTCTTGTAATCTAGCTGTGCGCCAGCCATCTAATATGATCTACATCCAGCAGAGGAGCTGACCCCTCGGCTCGTGTTAGAAGACGTTTAAGGTCGCCCGCTTTCTTTTGGATCGCCTAAATCCTTCTGTAGTAGACCTGCACGGCACTCACTCAGCCTACCGCTGAGTTAATTACAATAGCCAACCCACCGAAAGTCCATCTGACCTAAATTATCTTGGCTATTCTTGACCGCACCGCTACTTCGTCCTAGTATGTGATATACTCGAGTAGGCGAGAGACGACAATAGCGAACCATGATCACGGCTCAATGAACTCCTCCGATACGAACGTCTCCCTTCACGACAGTCCCGATAACCACGGGTCGGTGGTTAACCTGGTATCATGGTTTTTTATTATTTGTAGCTTTCTCCTAGTCTGTACTAGACTGGTGACAAAATGGGGGGTATCGAAGTCGTTCCATTTGGACGACACTATGATTGTAGCGTCACTGGTGAGTCGCTTATGTCAAGATTATAATATAATTATATGGTATTCTAATTTCTATAGGTTTTTAGTATTGCGCAAACGATAGCGGCATCTATCGCGGTTGGGAATGGGCTGGGACGACACCAAGATACCCTCTCTGATGACAATATTATATCCTTTCAAAAGGTGCGCGAGTCCTTCCATAGGTCAGATTGATAACTCTAAGCGCTAACATCCAACCAGTCTTACTATGCGGCAAATATCCTTTTCGTAGCGAGCCAGGCTTTCTCTAAACTCTCCGTTATCTTTTTCATCAGAGTTATATCGCCCATTAATTTCCACAGAATCTTAACGTGGATACTCACTGGGGCTACGCTTGCCTGGGCGTTGACCTCGATATTGGTATTAATATTCCAGTGCGATGCGCCGGAGACGTGGGCAATTCTTGGGGACGAGTGCATAGATCAAAATGCAATGTGGGATTATATCAACGTGGTCGATATCGTGCTCGATTTCTTTCTAATATGGTTACCATTTGTGGTCGTGTGGAAACTACAGACTCATTTACAGCGCAAGATTGCAGTCATATCGTGCTTTGCGACCCGAATCTTGTAAGTCCCGAGAAGGATCACATCTTATAATCAGTCACTAATACAGACTCTAGGACTATCGCCGCGCTTATTTGGCAGATGATAGAGTCTCAAACTGTATCTAACCACCAAGACGCTACATTTGCATACTGGCTCATTGGTGTTGCAATGACACTAGCACAAAACCTGGGCATCATGACTGCCAGCGCACCATATTTAAAACCGTTCCTAGACAGCCTAGAATCTGGAATGATCCGAAGCGACGACCTTCGTCGCCGTGGAAATATTACGGGAAAGTCGTATGGGTACGGACGAAAGCAAGATGGCTCCGGCGCATCTAAATCTACGCATTCTACATCGCACGAGTTGGGAAACCTTGGGATCGCAAACTCCCAAGTAACTACTTCGGTCACCGTTGGAACAGCGCACACCACACCTGATTGGGATGCTAGCAGCCGTTCTAGCCAGGCGAAGCTCATCAAGCAAGTTAAGAGCTGGGGGGTTACGAGTTCACCGACCCCGGCGGGCGAATAGTTAATTAGCACCAGGGGGTACGAATCTGTAGATATTCCGAATAATGCCTCTCTTATGATGATAATACCAAATTTCTCATTTTTTTTATTGTTGATAGCTTCAACTGCGACGGTACTTACAATATCGCTAACGCATAGTGGCGGCGGGACATCCCGCAATCATCCCGCAGTGGCTTATTACCTGTCATATACCTGTCATACTAATGCCTGTATGTATGCGGCGAGGTTCACGGCCGAATTACCTATACTACCTAGATATTCCCATTGTCATTTCGCCACTAGATTCTCGCGTAAATCGCGGCCATTTTGCTCTGTATCTATGGTCAGTTACTGAGATATTCGGGATTGGAAATAATTAACGACCTAAACTACAGGGTAGATCTTAGCTATTTATAATATAAAATATAGTAAGAGAGAAATACGTCTCTAAATTGTATATTAGAGTAGATCATTCTGCTTACTTGAACTGGGTATATGATAGGGACTTTAATGGGTAGGATCTCTATTACGTGACATCTGCTGGCTATGGTTTGTCGAATGGAGTATCATACCCGGGCAAAATCCTTCCAATGCGATGCACGGTCATCCACATCAGAAGCTCGTCCGGGGTCATGGTAGAGAGTATTTCCGGCTAACGACCGAAGGTATTGATACTCGACCAATCCAGTAGGTCGCGCAGAACGAACGTCGTATCCGTTATCTCACAAACCCCCCTTGTTCATAGGTATGTATGTGTTTTTCGAAGAAAAATGCTTCTTCTGTACGTATCAACCGTTACCTACGGGCCGTAGCGCGATATGTACCTCATATGCCCAACCCCCGACGTCGCAAGCATTCTAGAACAGGACATGCGAAAATAACGGCCCTGCTCGGAAGCTTCAATAATTTCAATCCCTCAGTTTCAGCCCGGGGCTGAAACCTTCCACTAAGAGTTATGTACGCTTCTCCTCAAGCCTGAGCATCTTCTTAATTACCTATATCCCCATAATATTACTACTACCTCTTACCCACTTTCCATCCCATGCCTCTATTCCCATTAAACGCCGTCGCAAAGAATTAGAACTTTGTCGCCCTCCGGGTAGGACGCGAAGGAAATACAACTAAGCTAAGATGGCGGACGACTACGAGCTCAAGTCGACTAAGCGCGAAGACAATGAGGCGACGTCTGCCGAGCTCAATATTGAGCCGATGGAGACGACGGGAGGAGGGAAGAAGTCGATTATTGATCGCGACAACCAGACTCTTACTCGACTTGGGAAAGTCCCGGTGCTTAAGGTAATGCGTGGTATTTACTTCCATTAACACTAATAAGTAATTATTAATATTTCGTCTTATAGCGCAACTTTGCTCTTATGTCCATCCTCGGATTCAGCTGTACGGTTATGAACACTTGGGAAGGAGAACTGGTGTATGTCTCTCCCTCCACCATGCGCATTATTGTTTACTAAGGCTTAACCATGTCCATAGGCTTTTCCTTCAAGCGTACGAGAATGGCGGTTCCGCAGGGTCAATATACGGGTTCATAATCGTCTGGATTGGCACGCTTTGCGTCTTCGCAACTATGGGTGAATTAGCATCGATGTAAGCGCATCACCTTTCACAATCAAGGCTCGAAATAACTAACACTCCGCACAGGGCGCCGACGTCAGGAGGTCAATATCACTGGGTATACATGTTGGCGCCGAACAATTGGCGCAAGTTTACGAGTTACTTCATCGGTATGTCTGAATATGTATGCACTTATTCACTGCGAAGCTTGGGCTAAGATGTATAAGGCTGGTTGACGGTTATCGGCTGGCAAGCTGCTGTTGCGAGTCTGGGTTATCTTGCTGCCGGTCTCATCCAGGGTGTCGCTGTAATGGGAAATCCAGACTACGTACCATTACCTTGGCAGAAACTCCTCCTACTGTATGCCTCTGTCGCGTTTGCGGTGTTCATCAACACGGTTGTGAGCAGCGCCTTGCCAAAGGTAGAAGGCCTAGTCTTGATCCTTCATATCCTCGGGTTCTTTGCTATTCTCGTACCGCTGGTCTACTTGAGCCCTCATAAGAGTGCCGAAGAAGTCTTTACGTCCTTTTCGAACGGAGGGGGGTGGCCGACGCAAGGTCTTTCGTTTATGCTTGGCATGATAGCTGCTGTGTTCAACTTCCTCGGTATGTTCTTACTACTTACTCTTCATGCGCCACAAGGACATTACTTGGCTAACAGGAAAATAGGCGCGGATGGTGCTGTGCACGTAAGCCCACTTGAATAACTCCTCCCTATTTCAGACACTAATGATTTTCTATAGATGTCTGAAGAGATTCAGAATGCATCCGTTATTGTCCCACGAGCAATGATTTTTACCGTCCTTTTGAATGGTACCCTAGGGTTTGGCAGTCTGCTTGCTTTATTGTTCTGTATCGGCGACATAGATTCTGCTCTAAAAACACCTACTAAATACCCCTTCATGGCGATATTCCAAGAGGGCGTAGGGTCGCGACAGGGTGCTCAGACCATGGCCTCGATCCTTGTGGTCTTGAATCTTTTCGCTATGGTATCCCTAATGGCTACTGCCTCCCGAATGACTTGGTCCTTTGCGCGAGATAGGGGTTTGCCCGGTTGGTTTTATATTAGCAAGGTGAGTATCTTCGCTAGTATCAGGTCGATTATCAGACTAATATCGAATCTAAGGTTGAACCTAAAACGTCTATTCCGGTCATTGCAATCGTTCTCACGACGATTATTTCTTACCTTCTAGCCCTTATCACTCTAGGCTCCTCGGTAGCGTTCAATGACATCGTTTCTTTGACTGTAAACGGCTTAGATGGCGCATATCTCATCGGAAACGGTCTTCTCCTCTGGCGCCGATTGACTGGCGGTATCCGTCCGTATAACCGGGAGAACACAGCATTGACTAATACCAATCACGAAAACCTATCGTGGGGCCCTATGAAGATCCCGGAACCATTCGGAACTATCGTTAATGTATTTGGATGTGCGTTCCTCGCCGTCATGTTATTCTTCAGCTTCTGGCCGACTCATATCAACCCCACTGCCGAAAGTATGAATATGAGCGCTCTGATGGTTGGAGCGACGCTGATCTTCTCTGTGATATACTACGCCGTCTGGGCGCGAAAAGTGTATTCTGGGCCGGTTATTGAGATTAATAATAGTTAGGTTGTTTCCAGTGAGCAAATAATAATAAGTAAATATAAAGATTACTTAACCTTTGTCGAAGACATTATGCCTCCTGAAGTCCTATCTTGTAGGATTGCCAATGGTGTCACACAAGTAGGATTTGTGGAAACGTAAACCGCCAAGCGACGCTGTACACGATCTCTTATATGACCAAGCTTCCATGCCAAGAATCCTAAAGCACGCCGAGTCGTAGCCAAGTATACACAATAGTAAGCCCGTAAAGAACGGGGAGAGCTTATTTTAACAACAATTTTCAGGGGTTTTCAATACTATAGAAATATTCGTTTCTAGAGCAACTGTCTTATTTTACTCGGAAAACAGTTGTCATTAGCTTTTAGCGATAACCCCTAGATTCTTACAGCAACAGAATCTTACACTAGGTAACTACCTAGGTAGCATATGGTACCATATGTGTAGCCCCCAAAGCGGCGCAGTTGTTCCTTAAAAGATGCCTGGAGTCACATTTCCCCAGCTTTGTCTAGCTTCTTATTATATTCCTCTTCACAATACAGACTTGTTTATTATTTACAGGAGTGTCCTGAATTAAGGTCATCGATGTCGCTTTTTGCGGGAGTATCGGAGAAGCTTCAACAGGAGATTTCGCGCTCACAATGTAGCATAGACGATGTGAAAGAGGCACTGAAGCAAGATCTAGATCCGAACGTCCAATGGAAAGAGCTCGAGATTGATCGCCCACGTCTTACTGGGGGTTGTGTATTTACTTCTTTTAATCCTTATTATTCTTGGGCAAATCATAACACGCTGCTCCATAAATCTTTGTGTCATCGACATTACGATGCGGCGACTCTCTTGCTAGAGAGCGGTGCTCGAATCGACCTATACAACGCACTCGGGAGAACACCATTACACGAAGCTCTTAGCCCACCTACAAAGCTTCGACTCAGGTATTCTTCTTCCAATTATGAAAAAGTCAAATTTCTTATTGAAAATGGTGCAAATGTCAATGCTGAAACCGAGGAACGGTCCTTTCACGATCAGCATACACATCGCTCAGGTGCTGCTGGAATCATCCCCTTACACGAGGCTATTAGGGCCTGGGATCCTCAAATGGTGAAAATACTAGTGGAAGCAGGGGCGAGTCTTATGCAGTTGGCCCCAGGTGGGTGGACAATCCTCGACCTTGCTCTACTGGAGAGAAATGAGCCGATCATAGATTTTCTTTCTAAATCTGGTGCTCGACTTTCGGAAATACCCAACCGAGAGGTTCAACCAACCAACCTACGAGAAATGGCACAGGGGTTACTAGCAGACAGTAATATATTTCCTTCACCTGACTATCGGGAAGTGTATCTCCATGTTATAAGCCATCCTGAATTTCTCTCCTTCTGGGAAGAGTTCTCTACAGGCTCCGCATCAACATGTCGGGTGCTTCTCGATACATTTCTCGATATTCTATGTCGAATAGCAGAGAAGCCAAATCCAGAGAATGTCCCAGGAGCTCCAACCTGCGTTCAATGTGCTGCGTTTCTGAAGCAGTTATCACTGGGAGATTTACATGCATTTGAACTTTACCCGGACCGGGACTCCCTTAGACAGTCTGCAGTGAATGGGTGCTGTCTATGTATGTTGTTTGAGGATGCATTGGTGAACAAAGTCGGTAGATGGGCGGGCCGCAGTTCGGTGAAGTCGACAAAGTTCGGAATAACACCTAAAATCATACTACTACCAGGTGAATTGTTATCGTGTCTCACGATTATCATACTCCACGAGAACCAGTCCGAGACTTTGGTAATCGACTGCATGTCTGGTATGTTTCCTTCGTGTCTTCCTATGAGATTAATAGTCAATATTATGGCTTTAACGTTTAATAGCACTAATCTCTAATTTCTGCACATAGATACTTTTATGATAGACCACCAGAAATATCCGGATGATACCAAACTCGGAACAGGTTCACCTCGAGCCTTTGAAGCAGCTCGTTCTTGGCTCCAAAACTGCAGGTTGCATCATTCGAAGTGTAATGAGTCAAAGGACGAAAGTCCTATATTACCTACTCGAGTCATTGATGTCGGAAACGAAAAATCTAAGCCCTTCCTCTATCAGAGCAACGGGACGCATGCCCCATATGTCTGTCTTTCCTATTGTCGGGATAGTTGTAACAATCTCAAAACAACAAAGGAGTCGCTTCCAGACCGCATGAACGCAATCCCTCTGAGCTTATTTCCACCGACACTACGTGACGCGGTTGTAGCTACAAGGCAATTGGGGTTCCGTTTCCTTTGGATTGATACTCTATGCATTATCCAAGATGACAAAAACGACAAGGAAAAAGAAGCAGCGCAAATGCGAAATATATTCGCCAATGCAACCGTGACCTTGTCAGCTTATGACTCTAAAGATTCCATGGGGGGATTGTTCCGTCCACGTCGTTGGAACTGCCCCCCTAGTCCCGTTCAAATCTCTTTGCGCATACCCAAACAGCATAAACCAAAGCGAGAAGCACATACATATGGCTATTTCGTTATTCCGGTCCATGGAGAAAAGGAGCTCTATAAGCCGGGTCCGGTCAGCTCTCAGGCGTGGGCACCTCAGGAGCAGCTTCTAAGTACTAGGATAATTCACTGGGGACCTGGGATTTTATATTGGGAATGCTTAGACTGCCATGGATCTGAATCAGACCCCGAAGGTACCACCCATCCGTATAATAGCAGCTGCACGAATTTTGCACAGGTGCGTCAGAAAAAACGTATTGCGCAAGGACGTTTCCAGACAGGAACATGATGTTTTTGAAATAACAGTACCTCCGGATACTCACTGAGTACCTAGGTTCTATCTATCCTTATGTATGTATACCAGCCAGGCCTTTCATCCCTCCGGATACAACTATCTGTTACATGTTGCATCTAGCTTATTCCATTTCATTCCACAAATATTTATAATTTTTCCTTTTTGTATGGAATCGTTCCGCAAATGTCGATACCGTTCCACATTTTATAATGGTTCCACATGGCTTTTTTACCTTTTGGATGTAAAGGTTATAAGGCCTAAAAACATAATTCAATCAGACAGGTCCTCACTCCATTAGCTCAAACGTTATAACTTTAAACCTTATTGTGGGGTTTATGACACGAACGCAAGAGCTGGTGCTCGAGGACCAGTCTTTCTTTCCTTTTTTGACCTTTTTGACTTTTTTGACTTTTACCCCACTTTTCACGTGAAAGTCACGTGAATTTGTGGAATTATTACAATTTACAAAACGTTCCACAATTTGGAATCATTCCACTATATTGGAATTATTCCACGATGTTGGAACGATTGGGTTTGAATCCAATGCTTATTATATATGGCATAATTATGTCAAGTTGGAAGCGTTCCACGAACCCATATAGCCCCGCTATGGTAGGTGTTTCATCTGGAACGAAGAACAGGTTTAGAGTATGTATAAACATTTGTCGACATACCGCTACACCACTAAAAGGTTATTTGGTAACAGATTTTATTCTATTACATATTATATATGTCGGACAGATATTTATATCTGACAACATGGAACCTCTTAGGTATCTACCTTAGGTACCTGTTTAGAGTTCCTTGCGGAACAACTTCGTTGTTCTATTCTGTTTAGTTCCACCCCATGATAGAGGTAGGCTTCTAGTGGTTGTTTCCACATGATCGGAAAAGTCCTATGAAGCCTAGTCTCGCACATTCGTAAGTCACGGTGAGATATACTTCTTTATTCCCGTGATGCTTAATGTCCATTCGTCCACTCTTATTGCTGTTGTTGGATATCGGGAATTCTATTTCGGAATGGTGCGAACTCCTGTAGATATTTCCATGTGGCTGCATTAATATGATATAGCCCAACACGTATTTTTCAAATTACTTGTTTAAAGCTATATTATTAGCAGGGGTCTTCGGTCGTGGCGGGGTATAGGGCTGGGATTCAGGGGTACATTGATGACATTTCCGGGCAATCGGTTGACCTCATCTTCGTCTCTTGTTACAAACCAAGAGTATCGATATCTACAGTCTTCAAAATTCATCTAAGTTAGTGTATGGCAGCAACTAGTTTCGAGCCAAAATTTAATCTACAGGCGACATTACTCGGATTACCTGATATAGAAATAGCGAGATGATCTCTAACTAAGAACAAAGACATGTAAAGGAGGGGCCATTCTATTTTCAAGAGGTCTTGGTAGCACTGCCCAATATGGACAGTTCTAAATCATTCATCGAGTCACCTATACGCCTAGGCGTAGTGCTTATCGTCACTGGATTATTTGTTTATAGTTCTTTTAGAATTTTATATCGAAGGTTTCCATATCCACTCCCTCCGTCTCCTCCGGCGGAGCCCATCCTCGGGCATTTCAGGAGGCTACCAACGGAAAATGCCCACTTTAAACATATGGAATATGCCAAGCAGTATGGTTAGTAAGTTATTCAACCATCAAGCTGTAATTACTAAATGAACTCCAGGCTCTGATATCATCTATTTCAATGTGTTGGGAAACCATATGGTTGTCCTTAACACCCAGAAGGCTGCGAATGAGCTTCTGGATAAGCGCGGGGCTAATTATCAAGACAGACCTAGATTTGTCCTGTTCGATGTTATGGGATGGGGTTTGACCTTAACTTTTCTTCCGTACGGACCGAGATTTCGCTTGCATCGTTCAGTCTTACAAACAGGATTCACCAAGACGTCAATCACGAATTACAGGCCAATTCAGGAAGATGAAGCGAGGCAAGCAGTTTCAAGAATTCTTAAACGTCCAGAAACTTGGGACTTTTCACTTCGGCGGTATGTATGGTGATATTGAAGTGTCGTGTTCTACAGCTAATATAGAATGAAGCTTTGCTTCTGCGATAGTTCTTCGTATTGGATTTGGTGTTATTGTTAGATCAGATGACGACCCTTATATCAAAATTGCGATAGATGCTAATATGGCGACCGGAGGAGGAGGAAACCCGGGGACTGCCTTAGTTGACTATCTACCATCATGTATGCCCCTCCTACCCCCCCCCCCCGGTGAGAAGACACCACGAAAGTGCAACTAACAAATTTTAAAGTTCGATACATCCCACAATTTCTTAATTTCTCAAGAAGCTTACAACACGCACGAAAGTGGGGATGGGCTATTAAAAACTTGCATGATATTCCATTTTCAGCCATAAAAAAGGAGTTTGTAGGTCTTCGTGCCGTATTGCCTCACATGTCACCGCTAACACAGGTAAGGACGAGGGGACGGCTAACCCATCATTCGCATATTCACTCCTCACTAAGCATAAAGAAAATAAGGAGGAAGGTGTTACTAATGAGCTTACACTTCGAGACATCCAGGGTGCATCTGGCGCCGTTTTTATCGCGGGTTCTAACACGGTTAGTTTTCGTTCTTTATTCGGATACCTATCAAGGTAAGATTGCAGTAGCTCACGATATTTTTTTAGACTTTCGCTACGACGACTATTGCTATCCTTAACATGATGCTGAATCCTGAAGTTTTTCAAAAAGCGAAAGCCGAAATTGATAGGGTAGTTGGAACAGAAAGATTACCTACGTTCCAAGACAGGCCGAATTTACGTTACATTGACTATTTGGTCGAGGAGGTCTCAAGATGGAGGCCCCTATCACCCATTGGAATACCTCACAGATCCCTAGAGGACGACGTTTACAACGGAATGTTTATCCCTAAAGGGTATGTGCTTAGCTCAGAAATTAGTATAGAGTGTTCGTTAATTAGCTTCCTAGGACTGTAGTTTATTACAACACATTCGCTATGTCTAGAGACTCTAACGTGTATAAGGACCCCGAGAAGTTTAACCCAGATAGATATATCCCAAAGGAGGAAGGCGGGGATGGCGAGCCTCTACTAGTTGGCCCATTTGGCTTTGGTCGTAGGTAAGTTAAATATACCTGGTCTACCTGGTCGTATTACTGCGGGTGGATCTCTAATAAGCAACATAGGGTATGCGTCGGGCGCCATTTAGCACAAGCATCCGTGTGGATAATTATGGCGACTCTCATAGCCACAACTGACATATCGAAACCCGTCGGGCCAGATGGTAAGCCTATTGAACAAACTATCCAATTTAGCACTGGACTATCGAGCCATCCTGGCAAGCTCGAGGTAGTTTTTAGACCCAGATCTGAGAAGGCCCAAAGACTTCTTGCTGAGGCGGTTAAGGATGCCCAGTAACTCAAGGACTTGATGGATAAGTTTTAGGGAGGATCATATCAGGTTGAATCATTTTGGTATGATCGTATAGGGTTTCTACTTGGATTGCCGTGGATAACCATAATCCATCGCTCGTCGTTTCTGACGCTATCCCTTCAGCTCAATAAGCTTGCTGAGCCTTTCAGCTATACTCTCTGACCAACCTGGGTCGTTGATATCGGTATCAAGCTCATTGACCAATATTCCACTTCCTTCAAGACCATTCTTAATAGCCGTAAATAACGCCTCGTCAGACACCTTGTCGTAAAAGGCCTGTCCTTCTACATCAAGAGCGCTAACACCCCTCAAAGGAAGCCATACCTCTGTAAATTCGGGCCTAATGCAGTTCTCCTTAAGCCTCTGCGCTACTCTCTTCCCCAGTTCTTCACATTCTTGCTCTGTTGTTCGCATTATAGTTACCAAAGGTGTGTGCTCGATGAGTTTTCTCTCCCGGAATTTCTTTGGCACGGTGTCCCTAGGTCCGAAGTTTACCATATCCAGAGCACCGACGCTGACTATTTGAGGTAAGCCTGCTTTGGCAGCGGCTGTCAATCTGCTATTACCTGCGCTGAATACGCCACCTGCCAATTCATCGGCCAGCTCGGTGGTAGTCATATCTAGGATGCCGTGGAGTCGACCTTCTTTAACTAATCTTTCCATCGACCGTCCGCCAGACCCTGTAGCATGAAATATATAGACTTCGAATCCATATGATTCCAACCGCTTGCGTACAGCACTCACCCCTTTTGTAGTGACACCAAACATCGTAATTCCGATCCCCTTCTTAGTAGTCTTAGTGTTGTTATGGTTGTTACTGGTTCTTTTAGCATATGCCTTAGCCATACCCACGATTGCCCCCGCAGCGTTATCCACTACCGCCTTCAATAGCTCATTCAGACCTGCAATATCAACCACACTGTACATCATCGTAATATCAGTCTCTGCGATATAGAAGCTTACATCACTAGAGGCGACAGTGGAGACGATCAATTTTGGGAATGTTAGGGGAAGCTCTCGCATGACAGCAGAAACAATACTAGTCCCTCCACTACCGCCAAGGCCAATTATAGCTTGGACTCCTTCGCGATCTTGGAGCTGTTTAACTGTTTCAATAGCCCCTTTAATCATAATCTTGATGAGATCACCCCGAGGAAGTGACATGAAAGCGCTGTCCCCTCCTTGGAACCCACTAGCCTTTAATACTTCATGTTGTTTGATAGTTATAGCGTCGTGTTCTACAACGGATCGGCCCGCATCAATTAGGATGACAGTCAGCGAAGGATCATTCTCAAGAATTTGGGATCTGAGATAAAGGAATTCCTCGAGTTTGGTATCAAGTGTGCCAACCACGGCGATCTGAGGTTTAAATGGAGGCATGACGGATCTTTTGGGTTTTGAAGAAGTAAAATGTGAAAAATGATATAAGAAAATACCATCTTTATTTATTCCATTTCTTCCAATTCTAATATAGATACCTTAGGTACCTACCCAGTTTCTACCAATAAATTTATCCATCTCACATATATAGGTAGGTGTAGGTATCATCTATCTTACATACCACATACGATTCGCTAAGATGTCGAATCAATTTATCATATTAAATTAAATCTGGTAGATCTGAGCTAAGCATTACGTATAAATACCAGATGATAGTCGCGCAACTAGGGGAGATGGCTCGCTCTACATGTGCGCCACATATATACCAGGTAGATATACTCCATAGCCCCTCCGAATCGCGTCAAAAAATATACCTCATTAGCCACCACAGTACGGATCATATCATACAAGTTACACAAGTTACACAAGTCACACCCAAATCTGTAGCTGTTACTCCCTTTTGTACCTTAACAATGGTATTCTATTCGCGCCAAGATATTCTCCAACGCCTACGGGAAGTTATCTCTTCTCATCACCCAATTGTCGGTGCTGGAGCTGGAATTGGTCTTTCCGCCAAATTTGTTGAGGCTGGCGGTGCCGACCTTATCATTATTTACAACTCAGGCCGCTATCGGATGGCCGGATTAGGCTCTCTTGCAGGCCTACTACCCTATGGCGATGCGAACGCAATCGTTGTCGACATGGCACGGGAAATTCTTCCTGTCGTCCGACATACGCCCGTCTTCGCTGGTGTCTGCGGAACCGATCCGTTCCGAGACATGCGGCAGTTCCTAAAGCAACTAAAGGAGTTAGGGTTCAGCGGCATTCAGAACTTTCCAACCGTCGGACTCGTAGATGGGAACTTCAGGGCCAATCTAGAGGAGACTGGGATGGGCTACGAACTCGAGGTCGAGATGATACGGATTGCTTCTGAGATGGGCCTCGTCACCTCACCCTACGCATTTAATGTCGAGGAGGCAGTTAGCATGGCAAAGGCCGGTGCTGATATCATAGTCGCGCACATGGGCCTAACAACTAGTAAGGGTATTGGTGGGAAGACGGGGAAGACTCTAGACGAAAGTGTCAAGTTAACCCAAGATATTAGAGACGCAGTGGTGAAGGTAAGGGAAGATATAATCGTCTTATGCCACGGCGGCCCAATCGCCGAGGTTAAAGATGCGGACTATGTCCTTTCCCGAACGAAGGGAGTGCATGGATTTTATGGCGCGAGCAGCATGGAACGTATCCCGGTAGAGATCGCGATTACGAATAACACGAAGAGGTTCAAGGAGATCCATATAGCGGACTGACTTTGCAATATTGATTTTCAATGCATCAGCCCTAGACGTACCCAGATACTGTAAGTTAACCACTCTTCATATAATCAATGCCAGCCTGGAAGATCTTTATAAGAATTTCCGTTTCCTCTATCGTGTTCGGCACATAGAGCATCGTGAAGCCCATGTGGATCCAGTCTGTACCGCTCAAGCGGTGACGTTCCCCCCAACCTTTCGATATGACATCCTCCGCATCTATGAATGATAAGGTGACGTGACCGGACAGATCTGTGCTGTGGATATGGCAGATCTCCCGAGAAGACGGACCGGCCAGAGGAGAAAGCGGGACCGAGCTCTTCGTGAATAGCGCCTGGCCGTGTTTCTCAAGCACTGACGTCTTCCATTCTGTATCCGTGTTGGTTTCGCACAACTTATCGAAAGCCTCTAGATATGCCTTGACATGTGTTTGTTAGCAAAGATCTTCCCATAACGAAATTACATAACGTATAATATCGCTTAGTAGATATACCTGCTTGACTGTTGGATCCTGAGGGTGATCGGCCTTCCTCTCACGCTGAGGGAACACATAGGGTTTCGCCTTAGCTCGGGGACCCGGCCGTATCGGAAGAGTCTCTTTTAAAAACGATTTCCGAGCATTGGACTTCTGCTGCTCTGTGGCCTTCTTCCATCCGGTGGCTCGCTTTTCAGGATTTTCATAGAAGCCAGGCTTCATGGTCTCGTCGGCACCAAATGCCTTAGTCTTCCCAGCGGCAACCTGAGACATGTATCCGGTCCAATTACGCGATGTACCACCCTGCCCCATTGCCTTCCATTGTCGATAGTCTTCTACCAAGCCTGCATCCTCCTGCTTCGATGACAAGGCCGAGCCCATTCTAATAGCTCATACGATTCGAAAGTTTAAGAATTTGCTACTAAGAAGAGATACACAACGGAAAGATTCTCACATTATATTGCAGAATATTCACAGATAAACAGGCGCATCTCAGGTCATGCTCTTATACAATCCCATAAGGTTACATACCCAGGTAAATATCCGCCTCTATTCGTGATTTTACCTTAAATCCGAAGTACTCCGAGGTAAATCCGACCAGCTCATAGGAAGTCGGCCGAGTTACGATCATATAATCGGAACTAGGACAAGTTATTAACATGTCATTAATAAATTACTTATTGATACAGCACTTCGTGTGATACAAACTCATTGTGTTAAAACGACCCGCTCTAAGGGGGGATTTTTCTACTTACCTACCTCTCTAATATACCTTGAAAAGGTCTACTTTACCTTATAGCCAATGTTATTATAATGATATGCGATCAGGTAAATAGGGCTAGCTATCAAAATCTCTCAAAACCTTCATGTATTCGACAGCCTCGTCAACAGCCCCTTCTACTAATAGTAGCACGTCATAAGACTCCTGAGGGGTTACTTCATAACCATCCATGGCGCAGCGCATAATGAGATGTTCCATACGACTCTCGATTTCTGGATCTTGAATATCTCCAATGGATGTTACCTTGCGAGGCATCCACTGGAATGAATAAATTGCACTCGTATCGTCCCATATAACCTGAGTACTATGATAATTCGTCGTTGGCACCGATCTTGCGCGTACTAATGGTGTACCGTCTGACCTAACGAAGGATTCAGTAGGATCGTCAAAAGGGTCGTCAAACACATTAACAGGGGCAAAGCTAGCATCCTCGACCTCAACCTCAAAGGCAGTGCGTTCAGGCAAGACTATTTCCCCTTCCGAATTTTTCTTGTTCAGTCCGAGTTTCTTGAATAGGTTTCGAAGAAAGCCTACTCGTTTCGACCCAGACCCTTTTGGCGGCGTCTCAGTCTTTGTTCGGATCAAAGTTTCTCGCGCATGGACTTGGGGTTTAGGTCCGTTGTTGCTCGCCATTTTGTCTTTTAGGTAAAAAACAGTCCAGTTGAAACCTGTACTCTTAATAATCAAAGTTAGGATGTTAAGAAATATGGTAGGTACCCAGGTAGTGGCAGATGCGTGCTACGATGAAATGAATGCGACGAGCCGGATAGTGGCGCGTCCTTATATACTACATCAGTACAATCCCATAGTAACATTGTGTCTATATAAACTGGCTGACCTGCCTCACCTGTAGCTGTTTTCCAACACATTAGTTGTTACAGGTCACTATCTTTGATCAAATGTCCCACAGTATTAACAAAGAAACACAGTTATGTCCCGACAGTAGGTAACGGAACTACCTGGGCATTTTCATGAGTGGAAATATATAGCTACTATGTAAATCAGAGACCAGACGTTACTCTACAATGTCTTTGTGGCAAAGAAAACATCGTTCAAACAATATTAAAACAAGACTAAACTAGATGAATGTAGATGGTAGTGGTAATTTAGATCTTGTTAACTCCCTCTTTGATAGGGTGTAAGAAATAAATAACAACTACTTTCGGTACCCTATTCTATAGATACGGCTGCGTCTAAATCTCCTTCGATGACGAATTTGGTGGCATTACAATTCGACTGCGGAACCGTCGTGCATTCTGGGAGTAAGATTGTACTGCCCCTTGCCGAAAACGAAGCACTTCGCATATGGAACCTCATCAGCCAAGCACAGCACAATTAGGTAGTAAGCTCGGGTTTTAGCTATGGTACTCACCTCTTCTCATGATCACAGCATTCCCATTTCTGCTGCAGCATGAGCTGGCGCTTCGCCTTGTCGAATCTAAACAAGGTCGTCGGATATTCTTGAGGAGGTATCAGATCACTTCCGTACGGGCTAGGACAAGGCCAATCTTTGTTGGGGTCAATGATGGTATCATTATCGATCAACAGCGACCCTGATATATATGAGGCAGAGCAATGAATGAAGAAATCATTCGCCTCGTTCAGAAAATCGAAACTGACTGAGGCGATGACTCCAGCAATCCCACCCGGTCCTGGACCTCCAGGGGTATTTAGGTATCCGATACCATACTCGAAGCCATCGACAATCCACTTTGGATGATGTGATGCATCCGCGCATTCCGTGTTGGGCCTCCGGTGCATCGTCTTGATATAGGCGTTGAAAGTAAGACTATCCTTCTCGGAAAAATCGAGTATTACAGAGCCATTTGCAATAGCTAGGGCTATGGCGTTTCTCCCCTCTGGCTCATCTAGTCGCTTGCAGAGGTACCTATGCGTCATATCGAGGTATCCACTAGCAGTTCCCCTGAACATGGTATTAGAGTCGTCGGAATTCTCGTCGCATTGCTGCCACTCGGTTTCTACGCCTCGCCATTGTCCACTACAGAGTGATGTGTAGTTATCGAAGCCAGTCGACAGGCGAAACCCAAAATCAGCATCCTTATTGGTATCGACGGGCCATTTTTGAATAGAAAATGTTGACAGAGTTCCACAAGGAGGATATGTAGTCTCCCCCTTAACAGTCGCAGCTAAGGCCAATATAGGTTTAAGGAATATTATGAGGTTAACACTAAGAGCCTTCATTGTAAGTTTAAGATTTACTGGGATTGACGGCTCTAAATATTCATGAGAGAGTAAATCTCTTTAAATACTCCCAGGGGTATTGCTTGATAAGACATATTTTGTAGTCGTACCTTAAGATTTACAGTCATCTCAATATTACGCATACCTTAGCTATGAGTTCGACGTCGTAATGGCTAATAAACAGATTTCTTTCAGTACCGAGCAGCTCAGCGATTGAACTTCTATCTTGGTCTAGAACTAGGACAATCTCTATTGTATTTAGCCTCAAAACCTTCGTATCAGAGTCCGAGCAAACCAGTTAAAAGTTGCAATTGGAAGATAGCCAACCATTCGGTAGAGCCAAGCCAAGTTGCTACATCTTGTAAGTTCAACCGGGACGATTTGACGAAGTTCATTTTATTGTAAACTAGAGACGGGACGCTTAGACAAACCTAAAGGATAAAAGAAACCTCAAAGATCGTCTTTTCCTCTAGAACTTATGATCATACCTGTTAAATCTTGTCGGCTTACAAATAGGGAGGCAGTAAAGACAACTCGGGCCGAAATTGATATATCACTTACCCGTGTATCGATACTATCAATTTACCCTTGTAAGCCAGGGCCTTCATCCCACGTAATTTGGTGTTAACCCCGAATACAACGGAGTATTGGACCAATAGCTTGCCTATAATGAGAATATCACTCTGCATAATACTACCTTACGTGCATTAACAATGCGGAACGGGATCCGTGTCGGGATGGATGTGTCGGTTACCAAAAGGCTGGAGTTCTCTTTTTCATATATCCACATAGAGCCTCAGTGCTGATAGAAGGGTGTCTTGCAGCCGTTGGTAAATAGAAGGGACGGAAGATACGCACCAGCCTGTGCCGACAAAACAACATCATGGCTAACGATACGGTTGAGAAGAACGATCTAGCTCAAGACGTAGAGATGGGCCCTAAGGAGTCATCGTCTGCGGCGATGAGTGAAATCGGCGAGACTGAGGATCAGTTCCAAGCGCCTCGGTCGACGTTCTGGACGAGGTTGTCTAACCACGGCGTCGAAATGCGCGGTGCAGAACCTGTGCCAGTTGAGAAGCGAACTGACACTCGCTATGTGAACGTATTAACCATCTTCGCTACGTCGATGACGAGCTTGTTACCGTACGAGATCTTCTGGCGTAACATAGATTTACGTAATTCATTATTTTGAAGGACTACGAAGCTAAAATATGTAAAATTCTAGGATCGGTATCGGTTCAGCGACAACACTCGGTTTCGGGATGACATTGCGCGACGCGGCGTTAATGATCGTGTTCCTCCAATTTCTATTCGCTATCCCAGCCGCATACATCATCACCATTGCACCGCTTACTGGGATGCGGCAGATGATCCAATCGCGGTATTGTTTTGGGTAAGCTCATCGAATCCAATGAATTACTTACATGTAGGTAGCTAGGAATGTCAAATGCTAAGCGCAAAGGAAAATAGAAAATATTGTAACGTCCTAACATCCGTCGTTGTAACACTTACTGTTGGCGGCTTCGCTGTAACCGGCAGCATTAATGGTGCGCAATGCCTCGCTGCCGTTCGGCCAGGTACGTTACCTGTTGAGGCTGCGATCGCCATCATCATGGTTATATCGTTGGCCATCGGCTTTATGGGATATCGCGTGATGCACTTCTTTACTCGATGGGCCTGGATCCCGACGCTGGTTGCTATTATTATTCTCGTCGGCGCCGCGGGTGACCAGCTTTGGCAGCAAACGCCGCCACCAACGCGTACTACTGCTCAAGAGTACATGGGCATCGTGGCTTTTGCGGCTGGCAACATGATTACTTGGAGTAATGTTGCGGGCGACTACGCATGTTATATGCCACCGACCGCACCACGATTCCGTCTTGCTCTATACTGTCTATTCGGCATCGCATTGCCGTTCTCGCTTCTTATGGTCCTTGGCGCGGCGATCGGTGGCGCTGTCTTCACTATCTCTTCTTGGGAAGCTGCGTATAAAGCCGGTGGAATTGGCGCTGTGATTGGGAGCATCCTGATTACTCGGCTGGGAGACTTTGGCCGATTCGTCCTTGTTATCCTCGGTCTTTCTGTCCTCGGAACTTGCGGTCGCGACGTATATACTATCTCCTTCAACCTGACTGCTGTAGCGCCGATCCTTCGCCGAGTCCCTCGTATTGTGTTAGCTGTCGTTGCCACTGCAGTTATCATCGCAGTGGCAATTCCTGCTTCAAGATCGTTCGTCACGTCGGTAACGGCATTCCTTAGCATAATCGGTTACTACGCAGGGGCATCAGTAACGTGCTTTTTAACTGAGTACCTGTGGTTCCGAAAGGGTGATCCCAGTAGCTTTGACCCAAAGATCTGGAACGACGGCCGTGCATTGCCGTCAGGTATAAGTGCGTTAGCTTCTGTCCTAATTGCCTGGGCGTTTATAATTCCATCTATGCAGGCGGATTGGTACACCGGACCTATCGCAAAGAAGACCGGAGATCTCGGGTTTGAATTTGCTGTCGTTGTAGCATTTTTAGCCTATCTTTTCATCAGATCGCTGGAGATTAAGATCCGAGGACGACTTTGAGATTACGATTCGGTGTAAGATTTTACTTTTCGGAATTCACTCAGGCTGCTTAAATAATTACATTATCTTGAGATCATTACTTTCAGCATAACTACAGCACCTTAGCCGGTACCGCGTGATCCTTCATAACATACCCAAGCTATTATATCCAGGCCATTTATAGATTTGTGATAAGTAAATATCTAAACCATATTAGACTTCAAGGGTATTTCTTTTGGTATGAACTCTACTTACCTGCGACTTGCCATCGTTTCCCAATAACCCGAAGAAGCATAACAATATCCTTCAGCCATATGCCCGCAGCTGAATCTTCATGTTCAAGGATGAGCCACTCGCTTTCACCTGCTCCGGCGTATAAGCAGTGACATAAAAGCGGGCTGATGTTCATAGGCTCGTCTTCGGCCTGATTGATAGAGTCAAGTAGTTGGCACGCGAGTTGCCAAATACCCCTAGTGACATCAAAGATTCCTGCCATAGACTCTTTCTGCAACTCCGCTTCTTCAGAAGACCTACCATAATCCGTCGAGTACGTCTCATTGCACGCGTATATATCATATAGAATGAGGCGCGCAGAGAAACATAAAGCCAAGGGCACCAGCACAGAGTTATCGAGCAAAAGTAACTCTTGGGAAATATCACTTAGATGTGATGATAAGGATGTGAGAATATGATGAAGCTGTTTTGCTTCTGATACCCGAAAACCAAGGGATATACGGCTACTATGGGGTTCGTCGCGGTGGCGCAATACACGACCAAGGACATGCGCTGCCTGGCACATATTGGCGAATGATCCTAAACTAGTATTGTTGGAAAACGAAGTCGCAAAAAGGGGTTCGTTAAAGCCAACTCCGCCTTCAATCCACGGGCCCTCTGGACACGGTAATAACTCTCCTGGACTTGGTTCGGGAGCTGAGAAAGGTAATCCGTTAATGCCCTGATTAGTGATTCTAGACACGGGTCAGTTAGCTATCAGCACAATAGGAATCAGAGGTAGGAATACCTGTCGAGGCAAAAGACTGCCCACCACGTCCTGCGTTCTTCCTCTCGTGATGTCCATGTGACCGTATCTTTGAACAGTTGGCTCGCGTTCTTCCGATCGTGAAATCCCATCATAACACAAAGTCGAGCAGCATGTCCAACATGTAAATAAGCTGCGGGATATATTGCATGACCAAGTTCATAAGCGGATAACAGAATGATAGACTGTAGAAGCTGAAGAGAGGGAAGACATGAGTTTTCGACTTTAGACAAAGTGTCTAAGACTCTCTTGTAAGGCATATTCGCTCTGGCAGATACTTCATCCGGCAACGGTTCCGATACCAACTTCATGCAAAGAAACAAGAGTTGAGAGGGGCAGTCAGAGACTAATTCATTCTCGGCAATGTGTCTTCGGACACGCTTCTTACTTAATATTGGCAACCACTGGTGGACAGTAGAGAAATACTTCTCGCAGATTTCATCTGCCTCTTGTGAAAGACTGCAATGGGGTGTTATGAAACCTCTTACTTGGCAAGGTTCCGACGCTAAAGGCTTGATGCAAACCTCAGCCTCTAGAAAAAACATAGCTGGGAAAGTATGAATGTCTTTATGCCCTAAAATAGCATCTTGTTCAGGGTTAAAACTTGGCTCTGTTGGTGTGGCACTTAATATTTGATGCTCTACTTCGTTTGTGGCTTGAGAGCTAGTTGATGAATTGAGAGCCGTGTTCTCATATAAGTTCCGGACTCGTGGCGGATACTCGCATTGCTTTTCGAGTCTAAGGCACTATGAGATGGTCTAAGTAAGTCTTCGTAATAAATAACTCTATCACCTTTGCTAAACCCTACCAATGAGCAAGACGGTAATTCTTTGGGGCATTTCCGTTTCAGTCGCCTATTAAGTATAAGCGACTATTCCCAAGACCGGAAGAGGACGATACCGTACCGACAAGTAACACAAGCAAACTGAGCTCTACGGTCCATCTTGATAAGGAATAATGACCAATCACTTAAGATCATAGGCGAATAGCGAACTGAAGCCTGAGAATCCGCTCTTGTGGTATAATAAGAGCGGACTTGCGGACAATTGTTGATTATAAAGGTGACGGTAGGACTCCTCCTTGAACTTCATATAATTAAGTAGATGACTCATTGAAAAGACCTCTGTCCCTTCCGTCCCCTTATTCTATCATTTACCATAATGGGCCGTATTACCATGCTTCGCAGCTTGGTTTAACCTATGTTCCCTTTCCAAAACTCACCCATTCATTTCCAATACATCATGTAGATGTATGGATTCTGAGTAAAAGTCCGCTCACGTGGGAAGACCGTTATAACAAAAATCCATAAGCTGGAGACTCCGCTCCGCTGCTGATAGTCCGCTTTGTCCGCTCACATGTTATACCCCACATCGATGACTGCATTCTGTATGCAGTAGCGCAGGGCTAATTGATAGCCATCTAGACTCTGAAGTCATTAGTAGTATGCAGTAAGTCCTTACAAGATAGAAAATATCTAGGTTAGTTAAACAATTAAAATAATCAACTATAATTGAATCTGGTTTGAATATATGTATAGTTTTTTATGCTGATACTTACAATTAGTGTATGATGCGTGGTAATAAATTCTCACTGGTGTACGTACCTAGGTAATCTCTTGTCGTGGCACTTATATACTATTATTTTGAACCCTAGATGCATGAAAATATCTACAATAAGGTATGGTGTTGACTTGGTCCTACGAATAAATACGCATGTATATGGCTATTCCCGAAATCGATCCTCCTATGTGATTAGATGAGAAAAGTCGCTGATACCTCAAGTCGACTAACCATAAGCATTTAAGGTGACGGATTTCCTAACTTAGGTAGCTAATAGGTATAACCAATATAGAAATACCTCATCTGTCACGGAGCTAGCTTTAATAACTTAGCTCGCTGTATTACATAATCAGCTGAGTTACTATATTAAGCAATCACTGATCTACAGGTAGCAGTGATCGCTTCTAATTCCTAAATTAACACTGTTATACACTTAGATCTCCTGCACCCTCTAATGACGAGTCGTATTTATACGTAACTTCATCTTATTAATTGGAACCTATGAAATTATCTTCTTAGGTTACGGATCGTATCAAGAAGAGAGACGCCGCCAAGAGAACGACGTCGGGTCCAATATAGGCCGAGAACGCCTGCGACAATGGGACTGCATAGTATCGCAATAAATCCGCGCATAAGGACTTTCCCTTGGTGGTTACTCTTCGCGACAACCTCAGAATACCTTTCGTTTCCGAAGCTCACGCGAGAATATTTCGTCTGCCATCCTAGACTTGGCAGATGGACAGACATGAACTCCTCTAGGAACTTACGAATACGATAAGTCAGGCTTAGGACTGAGGCACGCATCTCGACGTAATTCTGCAAAGCTAGGTCATTGATAGCGTGGGCATCAGCAACGCGAATGGCTGAATATTCTGCTAAGGCCAATCCTCTTTGAAAGGCTACGTCAACCGAACCCGGGCTGTCTGGGTTATTGTTCTCGGCCGTGGCGTGCTTATCTAGAATAGAAAAGAGGATGCGGACATCCTCGAGCCCCGCATTCATACCTTGACCATAGAATGGTACCATCGCGTGTGCTGCGTCCCCTAAGATAACAGCAGAGCCAGAGTAGTGATAAGGTTGGCACTTAATACTGATCAAAGGGAGATGCGGGTTCGTCTTGAATGAAGAGGCCAATTCACCTGGTTCTATTAATGAAGTTACTCCTGGGAAATGTTGATCGAAGAACGCGGGTAGTTTGGACGAGTCACTCTCCAATTTCGCGAACTCAGAGCTTGGTAAGAAGAGAGTACAAGTAAAAGATCCATCCTATTATTCGTTAGTATTGCTGATTTACGGGGAACAGATTCTCATACTTCGCTAGGTATGGCGATGAACATAAATTGCTTTCCCGGCCAAATATGAAGATGATTTGGTGATATTCGGAATTTCGATTTTTGATCGTGAAGTTCATCTCCCTCCTTAGGCTTGATCTGAAACTCACACCATAGGGTATCGACATACTCCTGCTGGTAATTCATTCGCGTGAACTTCATAAGATGATATCGGACAGCCGAATGCGCTCCGTCAGCACCCATCATGAAGTCGAATGAAACTTCGATCTCTTCAGGTCGACCCGACGGCGAGTCCTGGCCGCGAACCTCGAACCATGCTTTGCGTCGCTTGAAATCCGCGCCGGTGAGTTTATGATTGAAGAAAAATTTCACATTCGGCATTGCACCGAGAATATCCAGTAGTCGTCTATTGAGATCGGCTCTGTCAGCGGCAAATATTGTCTATATTGTCATATCAGCCAGTTGAGTCATTCAGTTTTGCTAACGGCGGAATGCTGTTAATACCCTTCCGTGGATATCATAATCCTGAGATTCTTCAAATATTTCACCAGACGGACGCCTACCATGTATCATTCTGCCCCGCATAGGAATAGTTGCTGATGACACATGATCGATGAGGTCTTGCTGGTCGGCATGTCGCATAGCATTAATACCCCTTTCGGATAGAGCTAGATTAATAGACCTCGTAAAGTTCAGTGGTGTTGTTGAAGGATCTCTTAAATCTACTTCACATCAGTATCAAATCCATAATGGCAAGCCTCATAACTACCTAGCTTATTAGGAAATGAATGGCTTCTGGACTAATACATTTACATGGAATATTGCTACCTACCGCCTCGAAGCTCGTATATTTCAACGTCGTGACCTCTCTTCGCCGCATACAGCGCAGCGAGCGACCCGACAGGACCGGCACCAACTACTACATATTTCTGATCCGACATACTAGAAAGAGAGTAAGAGTATATCTCAGCATGAGCAAATAAGTCCCTAATAATTACGGACGAAGTTGAAATTTCTCACCATCACATTTTCCGGATAGAAGCGGGAAGTATTTATAAGACTCCCTTTGATGCTGAACTCTTTTAATAGATTATTACAAATGCATGAATCGAGGTAGGCAAGGCCGACCTGTAATTTAAGGTGGGGTCGTGTACCTAAGGTTAGGTACCTAGGTAAGTTCGAGCAAAGGGTTTTGCGCCTTGCGCTTTTCTTTTTACAAAGTTTACAAAGTGAATAAAAACATCCCACCAAGAAACCAACACTGTTCTACGATACTTTACCAACTTGTAGGTACCTAATATATCACAGAATCTTACCTTCAATACTCTCAAGAATACGCACATATAGTTCGCACTATTTCTCCATTCCTTCTTTTCTTATCCGAAAGCCTCTATCTCTCGTATCGGATCTCCAACGAACCCCTCCATCATGACCGCCGAACCACCCACTAAGAAAAAGTGCTTGGGAGTAGACTGTGAAAATGATGCCTCTGCCCTACAATGCCCTACATGTTTGAAGATAGGAATCAAGGACAGCAACTTCTGCTCGCAAGATTGCTTTAAGAAGAATTGGGTTCGTATGCTTCAGCCATGATTCTGGTCTTACATTCTATACTAACGTTATCCGTTTACAGAATGATCACAAGGCACTGCACAAGATCGCGCAGGGCAAGACTACCAACGGTATACTTGACCATATTCGAACTCCAAAGGTCGTCTCTAAACCTGATCCAGCTACCGGCTTTTATAATCCATTCCCCGCCTTCTCGTATACCGGATCGCTGCGTCCTGTCTATCCATTATCGAAACCACGCCCAGTCCCCAAGTCGATACAGCATCCCGACTATGCTGATACGGGCTACCCTAAGAGCGAGCGATTTATCAACAGGAATAAGATCGACCTACTCGATGCCAAGGGACAAGAGGCTATGCGTAAGGTGTGTAGGTTGGGGCGAGAAGTTTTGGATATTGTCGCGGCCGAAGTGAAACCTGGTGTCACTACCGATTACCTCGACGAAGTCTGTCATAAGGCTTCCGTAGAACGAGAGGTAAGAAGAATAACCCTATTGAGGTACGGAATCCCTATGGCAATAACTGACTACCGCAGTGTTATCCGTCTCCCCTTAACTACAACAACTTTCCTAAATCTATCTGTACATCGGTCAACGAAGTCATCTGCCACGGCATTCCGGATCAACGGGTATTATTAGACGGCGATATTATCAATCTTGATGTTTCGCTCTACCACGGGGGCTACCATGCGGATTTAAACGAGACATATTACGTGGGCGACAAAGCTAAGGCTGATCCCGACTCAGTCCGGGTAGTCGAAACGGCTCGAGAATGCCTAGACGAGGCAGCCAAGCTTATAAAACCGGGAACTCTAATACGAGAGTTCGGTAACATTATTGAGAAGCATGCCAAGTCGAAAAACTGCAGCGTTATCAGGACGTATTGCGGCCACGGAGTTAATTCCCTGTTCCACTGCCCGCCCAACGTGCCTCATTATGCGAAGAATAAGGCCGTGGGAGAATGTAAACCTGGTATGACTTTTACCATTGAACCTATGATCGCGCTGGGCAAGTATCGGGACATTACCTGGCCGGACAACTGGACAAGCACTACGATCGACGGCAAGAGGACCGCTCAGTTTGGTGAGTATAAAGTCGACACTCGTATCGTCTGCATTGAATAAACTAACTCTAGTTCAGAGCACACTTACTTAGTCACCGAAACTGGAGTGGAAGTATTAACGGCGCGAACGGAAAGCTCGCCTGGCGGACCTATACCGATACCGAACACTGAAATCGCAGCAGACGGTAGCGCATAGTAGCTTCGTAGGTGAGCTACGACACCACTTTGTCTATAGTATGAGCGATGCATATTACCGGGATAAATTTATCGTAGCATAGTATAAAGACGAAGTGATCTTGGCGCAAGAATTATCCTATCGAAGTAAATATGTGTGGCTTGTGTATAAGACGGTACATTTGTCGAACCTCTCCCCTTTTTCAGGTTGTTAACCAACCACTTGGGTAAGAGACAACGCTTCTTTTCTTTTCTAGCCTTTTTGCATTTTCACACTAGGGAGCATACTGGGTGATTGCTAGAGAAACTAGTGGCTTTTGTATGTAGTTCTAGTCCTTGTTCTTTTATTCCCCCCTCCAGAGTCTAATGTGGGGGTTCTTTAGAGGGTATATCCACTGTAGAATTTACCTGGGAGGTACCTAAGGTACCATGTACCTGAATACAACATCAGCAGTATCTGTTGTATCTGTTAGTGGGTGGACCTTAGCCGAAAGCTTCACCAAGCTTCGCCGCTTCAAGGCCCAATCTCCTCTTCTCCCAAAAGGAAGGCAAGCTTTTTTCTTGCTTCGCGCGAGCCGCTTTCATCATCCACCCGCACAAAACCTCCGCCCCCCCCAAATTTCTCAAACTACCGATAAATAATCAAATCACCGCTCTCAGTTTAATTAATCGCGGGGACTTTTCGACATACCGTCTACAGTCTACAGAGTACATTCCGAACGGCACGTAAATATTTCTCTCCTAATTTGCTGTGATACTCGCGCAAAATTATCGGCTTCCATCCACCGTAATCCTGCAGCCTTATCTCCGCATTCTCTGTCCTTCAGGTCCTACTCTAGGTCCCGTCATTTTGACCGTCCAACCTTCTCGACGTGCGCCCGACACCGTCTAGTTAAACGCTGTTAGAAAGCTTCGGTACAGCTTCGCTCGACCATACCTATTAACCAGAGATTTATATATCCGACAGCTTAGTCTGTACCGTTACAGCTCCCTTGTAGACCACCAAAAGTACAACTGTCAAGATGTCGGGCGAGGCGTGGTTATACCTCTTCGCCGTGCTAATAAATGCCGTCAACCTATTCCTTCAAGTATTCTTTACGATTATGTATAGTGATTTAGAATGGTATGTTCAAAACCTTGGAGAGAGGGAGAGAGGTGTTAGAATTTATGGCCAGATCTGCGTTCCGCAAGATGCGTCTATGATCTACGTCATTGTTTCCCTTGTTTTTACTCTTTTGGCTAACACTTGTTTGTTTGTTTAGTGACTATATTAACCCTATCGACCTGTGCAACCGCCTCAACACCTATATCATCCCCGAAGCTGCTGTACATGGATTCTTGACTTTCCTATTTCTGATCAACGGATACTGGGTGGCACTGATCCTCAACTTGCCGCTCCTCGCATGGAACATTAAGAAGTATGTTACGTCAAAGCCATATCAAATAGTTTTAAGTGCTATAACTATAGGGAGATTCTAACACGAGTTATAGGATTGTGGACAACACTCACCTACTGGATGCAACCGAGATCTTCAGGAAGCTCAATGTTCACAAGAAGGTATGGGTATCTATTAAATTTTTGGAGTGACTCATCTAACGTTATTTATAGGAATCATTCATCAAGCTAGGCTTCCATCTGGTCATGTTCTTCTTCTACTTGTACAGCATGATCGTCGCCTTGATCAAAGACGAGACGAAATAAGCTGCGAGACGTTGGAATAAGCACAATGATAAATACGACGCAAACGAAACACCCTAACGGAATGACTCTAATGAGGCCATGATTACATAGGGTCTCCAGATACCCGGCGGGAGCATTGTCAATCTAGACAAGCTTGGAACGAGTCTTAAAGTTGCGAATTTGTTTGGAGAGAGGGGAATTACCGGACGAGCTGATGAAGCGGGATGGAACGTGGTCCCTTGATAGGCTTGATAGGGATTGAGAATGACCCGATTGTCTCGTTCGATATGTGCGACACCATGGGACTGAAATGATGATAGCGAGCGACCTGGGAGTAGGTCAGGTCTGTTGAATTAGCAGTATGTGCAAGTTTTTCGGGCCGGAGATTCTCATAGATAATAAAGTCACAAGATAATACCCCGATCCGTACGAGTTTGATCAGTTTAATATGCCATTTAACTAGAAATAATATAAGGCATTTAGCAAATGTGATCACTCAAGTTACGGATATTTTATATAATGAATGTACTTCGTATATGGTTACAATTCAGTGCCTACATAAATGAGTTGATAGGTCCCACAATTATCGAAATTATTAAATTATCAGAAAGATCACGTAATCCTCAGAAGAGCTAGAAAAATGAAGCTGCTATGTTAAAGCTCTAAAGCACCCCTGACGTCTATTCTGCTCGAGTGTAAAAAACACTACGACCCACTACGTCTTTAAACACGCCTACACTCCATTTACAAGCGCGCATCAACAATAGTATACGAAAGCAAAATGGATGACTTTGGGGAATATCCGCCAAATATGGCACCCCAAGATGCGCTCATAGTACGCGAACATGCTGAACCCGATCACGCTGTCGTGCCTTACACCGGCGAAGATCTTGCGCGACCTAGACTCGGGCCTCTCAACCCATACAAGGACGAAGCGAATGCGCTAAAACGTAAAAACATTCTCACCGGCCATGCAGAAGAAACTTTCCTTAGCGAACATACCTTTCGAAATAAACATCGCGCTATCGAGCGTAAGGGTGGTCCAGAGAGAGAATACCAGTCCGGTGCTGCAGTAAAGGAGGAAGCAGCCAAATTAAGGCAATCGAGGCAAGGAAAAGGCAACGCGACTATCGCTGATGGAGACGGCGCATACGTAGGGCCCTGGGCAAAATATCAGAAAGATGAATACGAAGAAGTTGCAGAAGATGAAGAACTAGCAAGTGATGAAGAGGTCGAATACGTTTACGAAGACGAAGACGATGTCGTAGCAAGCGGTACTGTCGTCTCAGCACCGGTGGATGCCATAGCCAGGAGGAAAGTAGTAGAGGAATTAGGAGACGAGCAAACCATATTCCACGGCCAGGAGGAATACGACTACCAAGGGAGGACCTACATGCACGTACCCAAAGATTTGGATGTCGATTTACAAAAGGAGCCCGGCAGTATCACGAATTACATCCCCAAGAAGTTGGTTCATACATGGAAAAACCACGACAACAAGGCTGTCACCGCTCTTCGATTCTTCCCGAACTCGGGACATCTATTATTATCATCTGGTGCAGACAGTACGGTCAAGATCTGGGATGTTTACCATCAAAAAGAGCTTTTACGAAGTTATCTAGGCCATTCCAAAGCTGTCTCGGATATTTGCTTTAATAATTCTGGCACGCAGTTTCTCTCGGCATCATATGACCGCCAAATGAAGTTATGGGACACCGAAACAGGTGCCTGTATCAACAAGTTTACAACCGGCAAGACACCCCACGTCATCAAGTTCAACCCCTCCCCCGAGCATTCGCATGAATTCCTCGCAGGTATGTCGGATAAGAAGATCGTCCAATTCGATACACGAACGAGGGAGCTTGTCCAGGAATACGATCACCATCTAAATGCCGTCAACACTATTACCTTCGTAGACGACAACCGACGGTTCATGACTACATCTGACGATAAGTCGCTACGCGCATGGGACTACAACATTCCCGTACCCATCAAGTACGTTGCGGAACCGTACATGTTCCCAATGACGCGCGCGTGCCTACACCCGTCGAACAAATACGTTGCATATCAATCATCCGACAACCAGATCGTAGTCTACGGCGCCAATGACAAGTTCAGGCAAAATAGGAAGAAGAGTTACCGAGGGCATAACAACGCCGGCACAGCTATCGACGTCGCGTGCAGCCCCGATGGGCAGTTTCTCGCGAGCGGTGATAGCGGTGGGTTTGTGTGCTTCTGGGATTGGAAGACGTGTAAGATGTATCATAAATTACAAGCGGGTGACCAGCCGATCACATGCGTACAGTGGCATCCTCAGGAAACGAGCAAGGTCGTCGCGGCTGGTTTAGATGGTATTATCAGATATTGGGATTAAGGTAGGAAGTTTGCATAGCAGGGCATAACACAACGCGGCGTTTTAGGATGGGCTTGAGCAAAAGCACCGTCGATACCATAACATGACTTTTTCAACGAATAATTTTATTCTCAAATACACGATCTTCCTTTAGGTCGTTTATCCTAAGATATTTCATCCATACCCCTATACCACACCCTATTCGATGGCTATTTTAAGAATATAATTAATATCAAAAGCTCAAGAGTTAGGGATGACATGGTAAAGAATCACTCGATAAGTAGGTAGGTAGCTATGGCTTTGTTGGAAGAATAATGACGTGGGTTTTGAATGACATATTCAATAATACCAAGGTCGCTATAGACATTAACGCTAAAATAAAGCCTCATCATAGGCGAAGGCGTCGAGCAGAAGACTATAATCTATAAAATTCACCTCAACGAGAGTCTAGAGCCGTATACTATAACCAATTCGCGAGGCTAAGACAACCTATGAATTCGCCTTCGTTCTCGGAACTAGTCCATTACAGCAACGATAAGATCACTTTAACTAGCTTGTTACCTAGGTATTGAGTAACACACTTCAGTACCATCGTATCAGTCAAAAGGGGTATCAAAAGAGGATGATTCATAGGATAGAGCAACGTCCAACAAGTATTATATCGTGAGTCGACTCCAAAACATTACAAGTGACCTCTATTCAGGAACGTGAATCAGCATCGAACTAGACTTCATGATTCAATCCTTTAAGCTATTCTACGAAGCATAGGCCTCAGGCCATACGATGTCCACTATCCAATCGTGATAGAAGGTCAGCTCACACGAATATACTATCTTACCTTCAGACGCCACGTGCTCCAAAGCAGTACTCCTAGTCACACCCAAGTCAACGACCCTCGTCACCGTATCGTATAGAAGGCAATTTCAGCGAGTTAGACGTACCAAGACCGAACGGAAAGTCCAACGATAGATCAAGACGTCCCAAATAGTATTTAACAAAGTTTTCCATCTTTCTTAAGAACTTAGATCCCCCCTCCCCCTCCCTTATCAACAACGCCTTACATCAAACTTCCACTATTATATTTCAGCACGCACTTACTCGTGACCTACCGTGTCCCTTCTACTCCTAGCAAGCCAACTTACTATCAGAAACCCTTTCACAAATCAATCTCAAGTAGGCCCAATGCCGACCAATATCATTATACCACCGCCGGTTAGCCGCATCATCTACGAGGTGCCACCGCCACACATGTACGGCCCTCTCCATCCGACCCGCGACGCTCCTGGCCCACCGAACCGCCCGCTTCCAAAGCCGCCGGTACGTCCAAAATGCGCAGTGGGCGGTTCTGCCGTCTTATATCCGACGACTATCCTTCGGCCTGTTACTATTCTGCGCCCTGTGTTACCTATGGAGCTCGGTGCTTCTACCTCGCAGGTTCCTCCGGCGCCGAATGCAGTCTTGCTACGACGGATCGCATAGGAGGTTTAAGCTAGGGAAAGGGGCTGACATGGGTTATTCTTCTTCTCAGGGCAGCACTACATATGGAAGTGTTGCTTTATTACGGCGATAGCCGGTTGCTTTAGTTATACTCGTTCCCTAGATCAGTATGATATATTATTAACCTTTCATGAATATTCTTATGTGACAATCATAAAGTAATATGAGTTCCTCGAAGCTTATAAGTCCCTGTCTATTATGTACGAACTATCTATACTTTTGTTCTGCAGTCATGAAATTATGCTATAAAATATTTGATGGTTGTATTATCTATACCGTAATGTGAGTTTTATGTGTTACTTGACCACGTAGCACTCAGCCACCAATTACGCCTGTTTAATCACTAACTATTCGTCCATATCTTATTAATCACCTATCAAGTTTCTCTTGACAACAAGATCGTCAGCCTGGGTAGGGCCATGGTCTAGCAATGTAACCTCATTGGTTGGCGAATCACATCCCTAGCGGTGATAGGATGAGCAGGGGTTTGCCTAACGAACATCAACTTGAACCCTCGTAAGTTTCGTGTTGTTTATCAACCCCTCTTCTTCTTCTTCTACCTCTTCAGTAATTATATACATATGCCAATTCCGTGAGATACTCGTAGCGATAGCTTAGGTAGCTACCGTATCTATGGCTGACTCTCGAACGCTACGCATCGTTACTGCCGCGACTTTCTTGCCCGCATTTCCCCTCTGTGTCGCGCACGGCGTCGTCTCAAGCAGCCCCGCCCCCGCGGTCGGCCTGGTGCCGCTCGCCTTCTCGGCCGGCGCAGGTATTTTTATAAATTCGCGGCAGTCTAGGAGTAAGCAGACACTGTCAGAACCGGAGCCGGAGTTGGAGCAAGGGGTTACCGAGGAGAGTGCTCTGGAACAGGAATATGAGCGAGGACCAGAGACGGACACGCAACAGAGCCGAGAGGCATCTGATGCACCCAGTCCAGTCCCAGTGCCGAAATCTACTCCGATCCACCCAATCCTCGTTTTCGCCGTCGATACGATCCTTGCTGCAGCACTCATGGTAGTTCTGGTCTTCACATGGATTGATTCTAGCGGCGGCAGCACTAACAGTGCCGAATCGGCCATGTTGGCCGCATACGCGACCATCCCACTACTAGTTAATTTGTAGGTTCAGCTATATTCTCATCTCTTTAGGAATCAAGCGACAAGCAAACAAGATCATGAGTTGCTAAACCCAGTGTGTTATGCATAGTTTGATCCATCTTTTCCTAGCGGTACGCGAATTCTCTCGCGGCCTCGCACTCCCGGGGCTGACGCAATACCTCGCGTGGCAGGCTGTTCCGCCCGATTGTCCTAACTGTGGACACCAGCTGCGACCAGATGCTCCTCCTAGCATGCCGTGGCTTAACGAGGCGTCGCTACCGAGACCGAACCTCAAGATCAAGAGCGTAAAGTGGAAGTTACCAGCAATGCCCAAGGTGAAGGCGCCAGAATGGAAGACACCGGCTTGGTTCAGGAATCGTAGCGCACGCGGGTACGCGCCCTTGTTTGTTTCTACCGATCGCGATGATGAGGAAGAGACTACTGCACCGATTGCCCCGTACAGAGACGACCCCGAAGTGGGCGAGCCGTCTACTCGGCTTGAGGACCCCGAGACGCCGGAGCCGGAAGTGATTGATATCGTGGGTAAGAAGAGCAAGAGGCTGGGGAGAAATTCGTCGTCGTCACCCTCGGCTTAAAGAGAAAAGAGGCCCCCTTGATTCATCCCGGTGTCAAGATTGTCTGTATTACTCCTTGTACAGCTTCTTTCCCGATTTATTTTCATGGTCGTATTTCATGGCTGTGCGTCGATTTTCTACGAATGATATTACCAAAGCGGCGAAAAGGCATGATACCCCCTATGATTGAAAGCTATTTCTAGGCGTTCATATTGAAGAGTATGGTAGTTTTCAGTGCTTTAATTGCATATTTATGATAGTATGAGAGGTAGCTTATGAGTTGGAATATTCGAAACAGTGCCACTAGAGTAAGCGGTATGTTATTTAATTTCATGATTGGTGAATGGTGGTATCATCAGAGATGAGACCAAATATAGGTTATCAGTAGCTTTTCCACCGGATACAGTAATTATATAGCCAAAATAGTAATTGAAACAAGGTAGGCACTAAAGATGAAGGATAATGACTAAAGACCATCCCTCAATGTTCGGTATCTCAGTGGAATATTATTATATCGGATAAATGGCTAATACTACCAATTCGCTAGTCAGTAGGTAGGTAACGTGAGCGATGATAGGCGTCAAGCTTTCTATCAAGCTGCATTTTCGGTTTCATTTTCAGGAGTAGGTAGATTAATATTATATGACATTTCGAGAGATTTGCCTCGTAAGAGCACATGAAGTATCAACTCACTACCTTCGTCCACTATCCCATTTCTAACCAAGTTTGCAGTTAGGTAGTGGATCCGAGCAAGCAATTCGGTAAGGGCAGCACCCTCTTTTGGATTCTTCAAAGGGATGAAATCTTCATTTAGTTCGGCGTTGATGGCTATTCGGATTGCGAGAACGCCATTGCTGAAGAAGTTGGTGGTGGCACCGTACCATACAAACATCAACGTATCCTCCTCGGGGATAATATTTTCAGCCCCACGAAAGCTCGGTAGCGGACCGAACTCGGCCCAGCCGTCTGATGATAACGGTGAGATGCGACGCGCGTGTTGAAAAACAATTTCCCTTAAACGATCATGATCACCGGCGCGGCGAGCATCAGCTAAGCTCAGGTGCAATTCATCTTCCATAGCGTCTTCCTGTCTCATTTCTTCTACAGCGCGCTCCAAATCCTTGGAAACCCGACGGAAGTAATAAAATTGATATGCTATATAGGCAACAATAGTGAACACCGACCCGAGAGCGATATCCTTAAGCCTGCTACCTCGTGACCGGGGTGGTGGAGAGAAATATGGACCAGGCGGCGGCGCATAATTAGGGAAGCTGAGCTGCGGCCGGCTCCTAAACTGACGGTGATGGGCGACTGGTCTTAGTAATGAGGGCCTGGCCCGGGTATAGAGTTGCCGAAGCATGTCAGTTAGTTACTAGCAGATGTAACTATACTGAGGGCCGACGTGATTGACAGTGAAGATGTGATACCTAGGTATGAAGTGAGGCATTGAAAAAACTAATTCGCGTCAATCTTCGATGATAGATGAACAATAGGCTGAAAATTATCAGCTGGTAACACTTGGCACTGGTAGTAAACGATATTCCAAAGTGGTCAAAGCGTTTGCGCATGAATTAAGCATCAAGCAAATATTTTAATTTTCTATTCAATATCTCCAGAATACTTACTGTCGTGAGAAGCGGAATCTCTATACCAGCAGCATAAGAGTCCCATATAGACGTCTATGTTAGACTTCTTAGGTAAGAAGTCCAACATAGGTTAGGTACGTATAGTATTTACTCCCAAGAAGAGAGGAAGACGTTTACTCAAGCATTTGTCTTATGCTTAACCGAATCCCGGACCATATTTGAATCTCTAGGTTACATGTTACTACCTAGGGATCAATATGCAAGACAATACTTTTTACACCAATGCCCCTGGATTCCCTGCGGGGAATTGCTCATCTCCAACATTTTATCATGATTATTACGAAGCCTCCAAATTAGCAACCAAGGCCACTAAACTCGCGTGTCTAGCCAGGGTATCGTAGAGTATCTCCACAATCCCCGCAACTACACCATAGTAGATCGTTGTTAAGTGACTTGGATTAGCTCCTTGGGCACTCATGTCATTCGTGGAATCTCCCCATAAAGAGATTGATATTTACTTACGTTATCCTATCCTGTCTTGCTCGTCATAGCACGAACCAATGCTAATGCATACTAAGTCGACTTAGATGCGGAGTAGCTATTCATGCTTTACTACCTGGGCAACACGTCCGGTGTAATATCCTACCGAGGTTGCAATGCTACGCAAATCAAGTTACATAGCATGAATGATTCTAGTTTGTACCGGAAATTGGAGATCAGTTTCCCCATACTCTTAGACTATGTATATAATATATAAAGGTATGGGGAGGCTTCGGTATAGAAATCGCACTTGGATGGAGGCAAGTCTAGTAAGGCTTCGGAAAAGAGTTAAAGGGGACTCCGGCTGTGTTTCTGGCCTCTTAACCTTCCAAGAATGTCTCTGTCTCGGGCTATAGGGGTTATCGCCCTAGGCCTGGCCAACTTTGCTTCCGCCCAAAACTATCCAAATATCAGCAGTTCGGAAGATGTTGTCACGGTCAGATGGATCGGCAATACGCCTACCCTCAATTCGGGGTTGACATTCGGACTTCCTTGGCCCCGGGGCAAATACCAAGCAAACCAGACCACATTTACTGGTTTGGGAGGTGACGGTAATGACCAGGTCCAGATAGAGTCATGGGTGACAGCTTACTGGCCGGATGATTCGATCAAATGGACTGGACATGCACTTGGCGGATCTGAGAAGATTTACGAAGAGTACAAGATTACTGCGTCTGCCAACGTTGAGACTAATACGACCAAACGCGCAAACCCGTCTACTCAATCAGGGTTAACCGTCAGCGACTCTAACGACGAGATTACCGTGAACACCGGAAAACTCACAGCGACATTCCCCAAGTCTGGAAACACTCTCTTAAGTAGTATTAAGACGTCAAGCGGCAAGATTGTGGGGCAGAACGGACGACTGATACTACGATCGCAGTCTGGTATCGCGGATGACGAAGGAAACACAACTTCTATAGACAAGCTAAGATTCGAAAGTACTATCGAAGAAGTCACCGTTGATTCCAGTAAAGACGGCCCAGTTAGGAGCCTAGTAACTGTCCGTGGAATACACCAGACAACTTTGGGTACCCATGATGACTGGCTACCATTTATTCTTCGCTTTTACTTGTACGCGAATTCCGATGCTATTCGTGTTGTTCACACGCTTGTGTTTGACGGGAAAGGCGACAAGGACTTTGTTTCAGGGATTGGAATCCAGTTCGACGTCCCTCTAGCTGGTGAAGAGTTGTATAACCGCCATGTCAGGCTGGCCGGTCCTGGCGGAGGACTGCTAAGCGAGGCAGTGCAAGGTATTACAGGGCTACGAAGGGATCCTGGCAAGGAAGTTCGTAGCGCTCAATTCAAAGGCGAACAGACACCTGATATTGCGTCATGGGATACCCGCGTCTCCTCGAGGTTAAAGTGGATTCCCTCGTGGAGTGACTATAGCTTGACTCAACTGTCCTCTGATGGATTTACACTGAAGAAACGTACCAAGGCTGGTCAAAGCTGGGTCAAGATTCCTGGAGGCACACGAGCTGGTGGTCTTGCTTATCTTGGCGGTGCTACGCAAGGTGGTCTCGCAGTCGCTCTTCGCGACTTTTGGAAGAAATATCCAACAAGTCTAGACATCTCCAACGCAGCTACGGATGTTGGTCAGATAACCCTATGGCTATATAGCCCTTCTGCCGAACCCATGGATCTCAGACCCTTCCATGACGGCCTAGGGGAAGACACATATGACGACCAACTTGATGCGCTCGAGATTACTTACGAAGACTATGAGGGAGGTTACGACACACCTTACGGTATTGCTCGAACGAACGAAGTATTCCTATTCCCGTTTGATAAAACACCCTCCTCAGATACCCTAGCTTCCCTTACTGAGTATGCCAACGAACCACCCGCACTTGCCGCTGAGCCGGCATATATTCAACAGACAAAGGCTGTCGGGTCATACTGGGAGACTATCTCCGACAACTTGACTGAGGCAGCACGAACGGTTGAAACACACCTCGACTTTTTAATCAAGTTCTATCAAGATCAAGTGTCCCAGAGACGATGGTATGGATTCTGGGATCATGGTGATATTATGCGTATGTAACATCCAAGATCCTTCACTCTTTTTTAATATGTTTCGAGGGAAGAATAAAATCACTAACACGTTATCGTAGATACCTACGACGAAGATAGACACACCTGGCGCTACGATATTGGAGGATACGCTTGGGACAACTCGGAACTTTCACCCAATCTTTTCTTCTGGAACTACTTTTTGCGCACGGGGAGAGCGGACGTGTACCGATTTGCAGAGGCCCATGCACGACACACCGGTGAGGTGGACGTTTATCATATCGGCCCGTTCAAGGGATTCGGTACCCGTCACGGTGTCCAGCACTGGGGCGACAGCTCCAAGCAGATCCGTGTATCGACACCCATTTACCGACAAGTATTTTATTACCTATCCGGCGGCGATGAGCGAACTGGGGAACTCCTCCACGAGCTTATGGACGCCGACCAGGCATTCCTCACTGTAGATCCGCGTCGAAAGGTCCGCAAGGACAACGGTACCTATGTTATTGATCCAACTGCTCTAGACTTGGACCTCGGTCTGGACTGGTCGGGCTTAGCGTCGACATGGCTACTCGAGTGGGAGAGACGCGGCCCGCGATGGGAAGAAGCACGATCAAAACTCAACACTACTATGCACAGTATCGTAAAACTGAAAAATGGCTTTGTTACAGGACTGGGTCTCTATAATCTCCATACGGGCGTCATCTCGCCACCAGCCACCGACCCGAAGAACCTCGGCAACGTGACCGTGTCCCATCTCTCAGCGAGTTTTGGGCTGCCAGAGATCATCTCGCAGCTGACGGACTATCTAGGAGAGGACATACCGGCCGGTTTCGAACAGGCTTGGCTAGATTACTGCTACTATTACGGCGCCGGGGCAGCGGAGCAAAAGGCGCGGTATGGAGTCAGCTTCGGCAGCTTAAACTTGAAGCAGGGGCACTCGCGACTAACTGCGTATGCGGCCAAGAAGCTAGACAACTCGACGCTGGCGGCGCGCGCATGGAAGGAGTTCTTCAGTACCGACGGTTTATCACCATCACTTCCCTGGAAGAGCGAGCACCTGAACGGAAGTGAAGTTCTAGTACCGGTGGACGAGGCGGCGTGGCTTTCGACCAACGATGCTGCGCTATATGGGTTGGCTGGGATTGAGAACCTGGCTCAAGTTGGTTATGCCTTATAAGCATACCTTAATTACCTTGTAACTAATATAGCAATGATTTATTATCATATTTCAATACATCATCACTAGTATTCTACCTGAAAAAGAGTATGCAAATTATATTAATTAAGCTATTACTTGGGTACCTAGGTTAGGTATGTTAGGAACATGGATATCATCTCAATCCTCCTTATAATGCTCCTCCTTATGACTGACATTAGAAGCCAGGCAACAAGATAAGCTTTCAATGCCCAGTCCAATCAACCTCGCCCGTAAATTTCCTAGCCTTTGGGACTTCCAGATGGAGGGGTGTTTCTCGGATAACTATTTTCCCGTTTTTGACAACGCACAGGTTGCCTAGTTCGACAAATAGGTGTACCTGGAATACACTGCTAAGATAACGTACTTCATTCACCAATAATTCAAAATCCTCTACATCGCGGTCTGTCTGGATTATTCCGTTTTCGAGAAACACTGTGAATAATCTGACGTGTCGTCCAACGTCCCCTACACGGTTGTCGATATAATCTGATTTTAGAAGATGGAAGAACGGCGAGCAGCCCGCCTCGTCAAGCTTGTTAACATCCGCGCCGTTTGCGATAAGTTGTGGTATGAGGGTAGGGACTAGGCAGTCACCGAATCCATACCTAGCCATATTGTGTAGACCTATATATAAATCGTCAATAATTTATGCATTCTAATTTCTAATGAGTGAGGTATACTTACAAGTTTCCCCCCAGTCGTCGACCCACGAAGCATCAGAAGCGCCATTTTGGAGGAGGATCGTCGTCAGAGGGAAGCAACGGACCGTAGTAGACAGCCAAAGAGCCTTGGGATGTTTCAGAAGCCATCCCGAGCGATCAATTTCGAAGAGAAGCTGGAAAGTTTCACAATACTGCTCCCGATCGCATAACAAACCGTTTACAGGAAGACCGTTTACAGGATCGAAGTAGTAGTCATCCTGTTGGACTAATTGTTCTACTATTTCGTCAAAATTAGACATATCATGAGAACTTTCCACGCCTATATCAATAAGATACCGACAGATATCTACCTTATGGGTGTAGAGAGCGGCTTGAAGAGGAGAAAATAGCAAGGACTCTGGGAGAAAGCTTCTCGTCTGGAAGACATTACGGGCGTTTATATCCGCACCATATTCGACTAGAAGCTTAACTATCCCAAGATCATTCGGGCTTTGGGGGACGCCAAAGCATATGGCCATTATAACTGTTCGGTTGCGCTGAGTTATCTTATTAGGATTTGCCCCGTTTTTGAGGAGGCACTCAATAGTATCGAAACAAGATTTCGGCGATACCGTATCTGTGGTAAGGGCAGCAGCAGCAGCAAGAAGCGGAAATAGACCATCATCATCTTCTTGGTTAACTTGCGCACCATATCTTATCAACAGGTCTACCACCGTTGTCAAATGAGCCCCTGATGCGCGCACTAGTGGCGTATGTCGAGTGGTAAGAGAACCGTGAACGTTGGCACCGATGCAGATGAGCTTTTCGGCCAATTCCACCATACCAGAGTGAACTTCTTCGTCGTAAATATCGTTAAAATAATTATTCCTCGATAAAAACCCCGGGTCGTGCTCAAGGCCAAAACGCCTACAAAATTGTTCATGCATCATGTCATCCGCCTCAGGCCAAAGGTAGAACCGCTCTTCCATCCTCCTTTCGTCATGGATCCCGCGGAAGGAAATAAGGCACTGGTCCAATGCGGAAGGTAAACCGTCTGTAGGAGAATGGATATTCGCCCCGGAATTAATAAGGAAAAGGGCCTCTTCATACCAACAGCAACGAATAGCTCGCAAGAGTGCAGTGGGTTGCTTAGAAAACCAAGAACACCGTCTATTAGTTCGTGCTTCCATGTTCGCCCCGTACCGAAGGAGGCACTCCATCGTCTGGATACTATGTGGTGTCCCTAAAGCCCACATAAGGGGAGTTGCCCCATCCTATAAAGAAGTCAGTAATCATAGTTTCCAAAGAAGTGAAGTGTTCGCTCAGATGTAACTAGAGAGCCGAAAGAATCTATATGGAATAAATGATAGAGTTAACGGATATTAGGTACTTACAACATCCTGTATATCAACGGGGACCCTTTGTTCGCCTTCTAAAAGTAGTCGTATAGTTGACAAATAACCGCCGCGTGCCGCCCAATGCAGTGCACTAGACTTCCTTTTTTTCATTTCAACATTTGTTGACGCCCCTAGGCTAATAAGCAGGTTTGCCACAGCCTCATTACCGCAGTATAAGGCGGTATGTAATGGCGACCAGTAGTAAAACTCAAACTTGATCTCCTTCCGGTTGAAACGAGGTTGACAGTTATAGATTGCGTGCGTAGGAACGTCCAAGAGAGCGCCGGAGTCTACCAATAGTTGAACAAGCTCGGTAGATCCAGATATAGCAGCGCAGTGGAGGGGAAACCAGAAGTTTTTCAAAAACCGACGCAAATAGTCTCGTACTCTTCTTGTTTTCTTTCTATTTATTAAGTTCTCGTTGTAAGTAGGAGGAACGTTCTTATGCCTTGAACGACGTTCTGCAATCCTCTGTTTGTGACTAATTATAGAGTCGAGAACGTTTCTAGTATCTGCTGTGTCGCGAGCCCATTCGATGCCCATATAATTCTCTAAGCAAGGATCTCTGAAATCGGATATGAGCTCATTTGGATTTTGCCCTGCCTTGAGAAGTTTCGTTACTATCTCAATTTTATCAGCTTCGCAGGCCCAGGATATGACATCTGGGCGGTTCATAACAGCAAAAGAGTATAAGGCAGGGTTGACAACAAAGTAAAAGCGTCGACTTGTGGCCGAAAATGAACCCAAGTCCGCTGCACGGTCTAGATGCCTCGAGATCTCCATAAGGAGCTCGTTAGGCAAGCTTGTGATAGATGGCATACTGAAATAGGTAGGTAATGATTAACGTAGACGTTACGGTAATACAATGCAAGCTTTAGGGGGGGAAGTTGAGGGAGTGTAGTAATGGTAATGAGGTGATGAGCTTATTAATGAGCCGTAAGACAACATGGAAGAGTTGAAGAGAAAAGGAGATAAGGTATATATATATCTATTCAAGACAACGACTTGTATGTATCCACTCAACCGGATACATGACACACAATTAACATGAAAGATAACTAGGTAGGTACGTGTAAAGAATTATGGGTGGTAACGTGACGTGTGTAGTACAATACAATTGTTAAGACATGACTAAGGAGTGGAATACTTATAACCATAGATGGAACTGAATAGACAATAGACGGCTCCTTTGTATATACTTCTTGGGGTTTGGCAAACAGACAGCAATTGACACTTCTACCGACCGGAAAGGAACCTGAGTCGATGCCACTTAGGTATATTGGTGCTATTTCTGGGATTGTTATATCTATAAGTGTTAATATATGAATAAGTCACCAAAAATCATAAAATCTAAGATAGTATAGATGGGAGTTTATATCATAGAAGAGAGTACCCCATTCTATATTGGCTTTAAATACAAACAGAAAATATCAGATATTTTACAGAGGATGAACAAACCTCAATAGAAAAGAAGAAGAAATAAAATAAGAAAGAAATTATTATCATAACAATTGGAAAGTCCTTATAATGTAAAGTCATAATTAAAGGTTTTGTTCAACAACCTATAGCTTAGCTCTCTAGCCACATTGATTCCCTGCTTGTTTGTATTAGCCACAGCGCACTGCCACAATGATTTAGATTTTATGTAGATACTAAGTGACGCTAATAAGGCCGAAACAAGCCGATATCGACAAATCGATGCGGGCTTCATTACGTTACAAATAAATTTAGGTACAAATACACAACAAATTAATAAATCTACACAATACAGAAAATTACAAAGACATTCAAAGTGAAAAAAAATGGCTTCTAAACTACAGAACAGCAAGTTAGGGTTCATCGGAGGTGGTAACATGGCCGGTGCCATTATCGGTGGTCTTGTGGCTAAGGGTATTAACAAACAGAATATTATCGTCTCTGAACCCTGGGAGGTGAATCGGGATAAGATTGGGGCAACGGGGGTGCGCACCACTACATCCAACAATGAGGCATCACAGGATGCGAACCTCCTCGTTCTTGCAGTGAAGCCGCAGGTTACAAAGGGTGTATGCCAAGAGCTTGCCGGCGCTTGGGCCGAGCGCACGTCTTTACCCTTAATTGTCTCTATTGCCGCAGGTATCACGCTGGAGAGCCTCAAGGAGTGGCTGAAGCTCACCGACGGACGCACACCTCACATTATTCGTGTGATGCCTAATACACCTGCTTTGCTAGGCGAGGGCGCATCCGGCCTTTACGCGAGTGGTGACGTGTCGCAAGAAGAGAAAGACTTGACTGCAGCGCTACTAGGCAGCGTGAGCAAGGTGACCGAGTGGGTAGATCGGGAAGAGTTGATCGACGTCGTCACTGGCCTGTCAGGTAAGGTCTATTCCTACCGAATCGAAGCCCATTGAAAACTAATCAGAGGCCAACGTGATTTAGGATCCGGACCTGCTTACTTCTTCGCGATGGTTGAGCATTTGATCGAAAGCGGGATAAACCTAGGACTCTCGCGGGAGCAAGCAACGCGCCTAGCCAAGCAGACTTGCTTTGGGGCGGGTAAGATGCTAGTTGAATCGTCCGAAGAGCCGGCGCAGCTACGAATCAATGTTACTAGTCCAAAAGGAACTACGGAAGCCGCCCTGAAAAGCTTCGATGCCTCGGGATTCAAGGAAATTGTCGATAAAGCCGTGAAGGCAGCGGCCGATCGAGGCAAGGAGTTAGGAGAGACTCTTGCCAAGTCATAACTAAACGACTAGTCCTTACTGGTTAGCTACCTCTTCAGGTACCTTAAGATAGTTTTGGGAACATTGAAAGTTTCACAAAGCTAGGCTCAAAGCCACCTCTTATTGTCAACTAAGATTAGAGCAATCTGGGTCTTAAGTTGACTACTACTGTGGGGTTAATATGTGCATGTGCGTGACAACGTTAAGAGCAAAATAATGAACAGAACAAACCAGCAATGGTTACGTCCAGGTCAAGACTCATATGCGCGTCTTTAAGTCCGAACGCTCTGGCTGGTTGGCTGCCAGTTGAGTTAAATTTACTTTGCGTTTTGGTATGTGGGAACTGCCTCGCATTCGGCTACAGTTTTCGTAGTCACCTGAAAGTTATTAACACGACTGGAGCAGCAATACCTAGGTAGTCACCAACATCTGATCATCAGACCAACATCGGCGTATAATATAGCCACTTATTATACGTAATCATAGGGTTTTATAAAATAATCATTACTAACACTTGTCAGGAGAAGTGAATAACTTGTCGTTATCTTATTAAGACACTTATATAATCTTAGTCAGTTAAGGGATTGAGTGGTTGAGGTGTGACAAATCAACACAAATCAACCTCTTCGTTTTATTGTGGTGCTGTTATACCTGGGAGAGAGGTAGGTAATGGATCAAAACCCTGCGTGATCCCTGCCAAGTTATTAAAATAACGAGAGCGGTCAAACTGTCTGCCATGGAACTACATACTTGGAAATGGTGACCGCCGCATTACTAGAGAAGCTTGGTCCAAAGACTATTATCACCTATGTATATACAAGTCTTAGAAGGTACTTAGTAACTTCTTATTGGCCTTATCCGCATCGGAATACTATGTCATTTCTCTTATGACTACTCTAATAAACAGCTGCACTCCTTATGGAGCTTTGACGGCACGTAAAGGCTCATGTGGAGTTAGGGAAATGGACGTGAGTACACCAATCCACTACATTATTAGATTAGTAGATCTCGGCAATCGGGGATATATAGTCAAACATCTTCGTGTAGTGTTGCACAACTAAAGTTAAATCCGTATATGGATCCTATTCAACAGCTCTAGCTTGAGACAAAGCCGTGTCGGGATCTTGAATACATAGGGTACTTGGTTTTGAATTGGTGTGAGAACCAGGACCATGGGTCAGGACGGGACAGCTAACCCGGATGTAGGAAGCGTCTGTATAAGTCAAAGGTGGTATTTCTGGGGTACAGCTGATCAGGTGGTTCCTTTACCTAAATGTGACTCAATTACGAACATTACTTCCGTCGCGAAGCCTGAAGGCTTTTGACATATGCGGGGTTCAAGACTAGTAGTATCTAAGGTCTGATGACATCTTGATCTGCTTTGGAGTAGCTGCGGAGTTGCCAATCTGAGAAACGAGCTGTCTCAAACAAGCCTCACCCAATAGATGAAGTCATAGGAGTCATCGTATGTTCTATTGAGGTAAAGACTTAGGAACGCTAAAGAGCGAAGGACGTAAGTAATACCGTAAGGTACTACATGGGTAGGTACCTAAGGCATCGATAGAATTTGTATAATATACACTGGTCCAGATATTCATAGAATCGGGTAGGTACCAACACTGGCCTGTATAACATTGTTTTAACATACCATGTTTACTTCTGTACTTCGGTGCCGAGCGTACCTTTAATAACGCTGTTGCTATCGACTACGAAGCCATATATCCCCTATACGCCTAGCGTTAGCAAAGTGTCTTAAAATATCTAATAGAGGCTATAGCGGGGGGAGCTATTCTATCTTGATAGTTCAATGTTGGGAATGATTTAGGATGCTCAAGATCGAATAACAAGATCAAATAGTCAACTCACCGAAGTATTGGATACAGTAACCTCTTGCCCCCCTGGAGTCCCCGTTGCACAGCAGTCCTCGACCATAATGCAGTCGTATCCGCGATAATATGCATCAGCTAGAGTTCCCAAGACACATTGGTCCGTATTTACGCCGGCAAAAAAGAGGGTGCGAAAGCCACCAGAGTCTAACTCCTTGGCAAGCGGCGTCTTGCCGTGCCAGAAACCCGATATACGATTCTTACTGCAGAAAATATCCGATGCGTGCGTGATGTCATGTAAAGCGCCATAAATTGCTGCATTCCACGATCCTTCCATTAACAATCGACCTCTACCCTCTCCCATGTCAGAGCCGAAGCCGTTTCTAGCCTGCTTGCTGTTGTCTGGAGACGTCGTAAGTAGGCTCCTATCAAAGCTTCGTTCGGCGGCCGCTGGCATGGTTTCGAGGTCCTTCTCACTTAATCCCCAATTTAACCAAATAATCTAAACCCAGTGCCAAGGTCAGTACGGAGTTCAATACACGTAGAATATTATATTTTCATATTTCACTTAAATATGCGGGCTACCATAAGAAGATAATCCGATTATACGTAGATAGATCCTGAGTGCTAGCATTATTACTATACCTTGACGTCAATCTCGCGACATTTTCTAATCAGTTCAAGAGTACGCTCCACTGCAACCAGACCAGTGGGGTGATCATTGCAACTTGGATGAAGGAAGAAGTTTTGCATGTCAACCACAACCAGAGCGCTCAGACTCGGTGCCAGCGTGATCGATGTATCCGCAGGACCCTTAGTCGTGCAGAGGGTAAACGCTGACGGGGATGATCCACGAGTGAGGTTATAGATCTTGGCGTCTTTATCATAGGTCCATTCGTTGCCTTTTGGCCCCAACGTCGAAACCCGAGACATTATAGTGAGGTGGATAGCGGGGTCTAGATCTACGTCAGTACATCTATGCTACTTGCTATAACACGAAATAGTACCTAATAATATGGCTGGAGGCTTTTTGTCCCAGAAGGTATCTTAGAAATGTTGGTGATTTAGGGGTCTAACATGGGTGGACGTGTACGAGCGGGGGGAAAAGAGAGAACCGGTCACGATTTACATCCTTTACCTATCATATGCCGTATTTTCTCGCGACTCGGAGATTAGCTTTTTCGGACACCCACAGCGCCGATGGCACAAAGTTGTGCTGTCTTTCCATATCGTTGGCGTACGCCTTGCATCCGTTAGAAGATGCGTGCAGCTGTAATATTTGTAACGACATTAGTCAGTGATCAAGATGTATTAATAAGTGCTCTATAGATATTATAGATGTGTAATGGTATAAGAGGTCGAAGTCTTCCCGTATCGATGGACTGCTCAATATCGTCCACGACAATCAACGTTAGCTCAAACTCGATATATCTGTTTTTAATTAAATCCAACGTTTGAATAAGTTCTCTTTTGACTTCCGCAACTTCTTACATCATGGCCGAAGCAGATCTGTCTGGCAAAGTCGTTTCACCTGATCGTCTAGCACACGTTGTGCTTAGGACAGGGCGATTTAAGCTCGTGGTTGAGTTTTATAAGATCTTTCTAGGCGCGCATGTCGTGTTAGAGAGTGGATCGATAGCATTCTTAACTTATGATGGTGAGCATCATCGTATCGCTATCATAGCGATGCCCGGCTTGGAAAATAAAATCCGGCTGAGCGCTGGCCTGGACCATATGGCATTCACCTTCAAAACATTAAACGACCTCGCAACGGCCTATGTGCAACGCAAAGCTCATGGTATACTACCCGTCTGGTGTGTCAATCACGGACCGACCATGAGTATGTACTACCAGGATCCCGACGGCAATGTACTCGAAACGCAGGTAGATAACTTCGACGCGGCTGAGTCTGCCAAATTCATGACTACTCCCGAGTTCGCCGAGAACCCCATCGGCGTCGATTTCGATCCAGAGGACCTAGTTAGACGATTAAAGAGTGGCGAACCAGAATCGGATATTATCAAACGTCCCAATATCGGTCCTCGTGGGGTTGAGGGAATTCCGCTCCTACATCTGCCACTACCTGTCGTTAAGGAGAGTTATGGGCTTGTCGAAAGTACTGCTTGATGCCACGAGTGCATCTGAATAGTGTCTAGCCGTTCCACCCGCTACCATGAGAAGAGGGGGTAGCCATATAATAGCGATAAGAAGCGCAAAGCTATTAGTGTGATCAGGGCCGTGTACTTGGCCTCATTTCCAATTAGTCAATAAATCGCTTATGAAAAATAATCATCTATCTACATCTTATCAGCGTGATTCTAGTTAATAAGGAATGTAGAATTCACCTTTGGGCATTGTACATCTATATTGTAGCTCACGCCATATTGTCATAACGAGGTTCCACGATGGCGACCAGCGGATGAAGAGGAGATATAGTACTACATCCAGATCTAGTAATCATAGAGGTACCTTAGATGCTAATCATTGAAGACACGACGCATTCCATACCGCCTATAGGGACACCTAAGATTCAAAACAATTGGTCGTGTCCCTTCGCAAATGAAGCCTCAGCCATCTCGTCATAGTGGCGCCTCCGCAATAACATTCGAAAGCACCAAGGTATCAGACCGGAAGGAAGAATTCCCGCGAGGTATAGTAGAGAAGAGAATGTTTGGTGAAGCGCCGGCTGAGCTCAATTAGTCAAGACTGAATCGTTATGCTAGCGTACGATGCCATCGACTTGGAATTGTTCGTCGGGAACTTTGGGTCCAATGAAGGAACCCAGGAGCTTTCAAGGAGATTCATAAGATCAACCTCTATGATCCACTACCCCCGGATTAAGGGGGATGTGCGGTCCGACAAGTTGGGCTCGGAGACCCTAAATCATAAGAGCAAAATTAACGAGATCGGATGAAACGAGAGCCGACAAGTTAATCTTGCCACATCAATGATCGACGCATGATGCTCATCATAGATTGATATGAGCATCAGCGCGATTGAAGGGAAATCGAGCCGATATTCCGCTACTATGAATTACATAGGTAGATCGACAAGCTGAGGACGTCCTTGTGAAAATCTCAGCAAGAGTATTCTCCAGCGGTCCAAGCATGATATTCGATCTTATCGAATATCCATTAGTCGATCAGGAAGGTTCTATCAAGCAGATCTATTCATTAAGGAATAGACGTGATATTTCCTACCAAATACGCCAACCTAGAAGTCGAGATAGACATGAACCACGAATAGGTAATTCCATCATTGACTGTATTTTGTAATCGTACACCGCCATCTATGGTAGCCTCCCAAAGGTACCTCATAGAAGATTCACTGAGACAGCTAATAATTAGACCATCAATTAGCCAACTGTGGATAATAGTCATTATGAGCACTTGTTTAATCGGTGCTTCACCAATTGTAGTAGCAATTTCCGCTATGAAAAGAGGTTTAACTTGGTAGAAGAAAAGTGAGGTTAGATAAAACCCCCTGAGTCTCGTAAGTCGTCTCAAAACCCCTTACGGAGCTGTTTGATCGCTCTCTAGCAGGGGTACTTAGCGAGGGTAGGGGGGTTAGAAAGCGTCGGAGACAGCCGTTTAGAGGAATATGGTGGGCCTTCAAAGGCGCCAAGCTGTCGCCGTACCTAGCTCGACCTTCGAGAAGGTTAGTGAAGTTCGTACTCTGATTACTCTGATCTTTAGTCCCAAGTGGCTACTAATCCTTCTTAAATTTAACACAAAATGGAGCCCCTTTAGGATAATAGAAGAGAAGGCAGCATCAGAGAGAATTGGTATGCGAGCCTTTGCATCGAACTTGCGAATAAACCGCGCTCTCTATGATTGATTAAGAAATATAAGACTCAGCTGCCTTATAAGCTTCCATATTAGTGCGTTCAATATGAAAGGTAGGTAATATGATTGGTGATCTACAAATACACCGAACCCAGCTACTGCTGATCTCCGAGCCTCAATTGAGCCTCACCTGGAGATTTTCCATCGTAGTAATCCGTAGGCAACTAGATAACTGGATACTACTATACTCTTACTTCGTAGATACACATGAAAACAATATGAAAACAATATGATACCTATTGAGCTTCGTTCATACATAACCGTATTTACTAACCCCTGACAATTTAGAATAGTGCACGCGCAGCCAAGAGCTAATTGAAATCATCCCCTGGGTCATATCCGTTTCCGCTAACAGTTCCACTAACCGCCCATGGGATCTCAGAGACGGTGTTCAACAATACAGGAAAAAATTGCATTTTCTCTATGCCCGCGGCAAAGCACTTAGGTATCTTATGTCTACATTGTAGTCTCTATACTAATTTCAAGGGACACGGCATATTCCATACACCCTCCGCTTCTTCACTCCGAGACGCTTGACATGGGATAAACATCCGTCAGAAGAGGGTTGCCACGAGCGGTCATATCCTTGCCGCACCATGCTAGCTCACCATCTGATCTCAACCCTGAGATGAGGTTTGATCTACGGAAGGGGCTCGCCAAAGCCTGCCTAGACTGGCCTATCCCAACTGATCGCGCTGGTGTTGAATTGTAGAGATCCACGTGGGCCATCTATATAATCGCATTACCCCAGCTTCACATCGTGAGTTCTTCTCTTTTTTTCTCTCTATCAAGCTTCAGTTCTTTCTTTGATATCCAATTCGTTTCAGTTCTGTGAACTTTTCGTTCTCTCAACCTTCCCTTCGTTCTATTCACTATACCGCCCGGTCGGTCTTAACTCGTTCTATTCAATAAACTTTCCATACCTTTCAAAGAAACGAATCTGCTGCTTGACGCCAACTTTGTTCTTTTTCTCCGTCATCATGTATACCAAGACCACGTTTATCTCGGCTCTTTTGGCCGTTGCCGAAGCCCGTTTCGGCCAGGAGCAAACACCCGTCGGTGATATCCAGGCTTTAGGTAGCTTCGGTAACCCGGGTGAAGCTGCCACTCTTGCTGGTGGTGTTCCAGGCGTGCTCCTCGCCGCCGCCGACCCATGCGCCAAGCTTACTCTCGCCGACAAGATCGTGTCGACTCTCGGCAACGACCCCCAGGTCATCGCAGCAGCACAGAACCTCGTTGCCGCCGAGCAGAACTTCAACCCGTTCGCGGTGTCGATACCCAGCATCTGCGGTGATGCTAGCCTACCTGCCACGGAAGAGCTCCGTGGTATCGTCCCTCTAGTCGACCCTGCCGTAACAGGCTCGGACGTTGAGAATGCCAACTCGGAGACTTCACTACAGTCTCCCTTTGATGCTGCCGGTCTCAGTGTTGCCGATATTATGACTGCCCAGGGCTTTTCCAACTTCACAGTGAAAGGAGCTGCTGCTGGTGGTAATGCCAACACTGGAAACAACAACAACAACAACAACGGTAATAACAATAACAACGCTGGTTCTGGCTCAGCTACTACCGCCGCCCCTTCGGCAACTGCTACTGCTACTAAGTGCGTCAAATCAAAGAGCAAGACGACCACTGCCGCTGCTGCCACCTCTACTGCTGCTTCCAACAACAATAACAATAACAACAACAGCGGTAACAACAACGCCAACAACGGTGGTGCAACCGGCCAAGCAGGTGCTGGTGCCGTTACTGACGCTGTTACTGGCAACTTCCCCGGTTTCCAAGCTTCAAGCCTTGGCCTCGACTTCGGTACTTGCACACCTACTGTCAAGTTTGAGGAGTCCCTCAACGGCCGCAAGGCGGGCGAGTTCACTTTCCAGGCTCAGGACCCCGTTGTTAACAAGGGCCAGCAGGAAGCTCGTAAGTTTCTCAATACTCTAAAAAATTTATTACTTCACACAGAATACTAACTTGCCTCGTTTTAGTCAACCCCAACATCATCTTCAACCGCATCTGCGACCAGCTTGGTAATGTTTGCAACGCTGCTGCTGACGCCATCGCCGCCTGCAAGACAGCTCAGGCCGACCTAGGTTCTGGTGCTAAGGATGCCTCTACGGCTAACGCCTGGAACGAGGCTCTTGGCTTTGCCGGTGTTGACATCAACCCCGACAACGCTCCTCAGCAGGGTCTTGTCGGCCACACATAAGTGATGTCGATCGGGGTTTAGAGTAAGGTGGTGAGAATCCACGTCTCTTCGCTTGTGATTTTGCACAGCGAGGACTTCTAGAGAGATAACGTGTCATGACGTGTTTAAGAATTTTGTTGTATCTACATTAAATACAATTTTTGTATAATCTTGAAGTGTTATTTGAAAGTGATTGGAACTGGTATTATATTGAAGTATGCTCTTTAGCCGTAGATAAAATGGGTATTCACTCCAAGGGTTTGCCTATCTAATTTACCTTAGGAGGTATATTTTAGTAATTTTATTGGGCGAATGTCGGTGTAGCGATGTCAAGAGATAGGACATCAAAAAACTGCCGGTTTTGTAGGTACTACCATACCAAAAGCCTCACTTTCTTATTCACACAACTCAGCAAAATCTTTGACTATATCTTCATAACTAATATCAGAATGAAATACTGTGTCTATTTCATATTAACATGATTTTTGATATTTCTTCTGCTCGTGGTATTCCTATTATTAGGCACTTATTTGACGCCGTTCTGCAACGTTATGATGGGGCGTCGCGTGGGCTGCTAATGCAAGAAGGGTTTGGTGGTGATGTTTTCTGTGTCTAGTTGCTTCTAACAAAGGGGCGGCTTTCAGGAGTGTGCTGGGATATGACGTCGTTAGGCTGAAGGCTGGTTATGCGCCCCTGTGGTTATCCTAAGAAATTGACTGCCCTAATAAGTAGAATACGAAAAGATCGACCAGGGGCGCTCTATTATTGGCGGATGCAACGTAGCTGTGGCGGATACGAAGGGGACGTGATGGGGCGAGTGGGCTGGGCTGGGCCGTGTCATGATATTCACGATCGATATCTGTGGAGAACTGGAAATAATATATAATGCGCTCCCTCAACGACGTCAAAGTTATTCATCTTCTGTTAATCACCAGTCGCACTTGATCCTAAATCTCAACTACAGACAATACTCTCGTTTTAACAGAACATACTTCCGTTCCCATCAACATCAGACAAGATGAAGGTCTCCGCTGTCCTCGCTATTGCTACTACTGCTTCGGCTGCTTCTGTACAGAGGCGCCAAGCCCAAACCTACGACATTGCCAACTTCGCTGCCGACTGCATTCCCCATAGCACATCCTGCGCGTAAGTGTTTATCACATTTCCAAATACATTTTCAACATGATAGGAAGTACTAACTTGAATCCAGTTATAACTTCAACGTTGTCACCGAGCCTTACTTCCCTCTGGATACATGCAGTGCTTTCGTGCAAGGCCCTGACAACTTGCCCGATATCAAAGAGGGCAAGTGCAACAACACAGCTTACACGTGGTCGACGACCAAGGCTACAGATGGTAGCATTGACTTTGCTATCTGGTACCCCTTTAACGCGCGCTCCAACATCACCTACTGCCACACTATCCCCGCCAGCCAGATCACCACGCAGAACAACGGCGCAGTGAGCACTCAGCACTACACCGGACCGAAGAACTTCACGGCTTCCATCTTCGACTGTGCTAGCTCGTAATCGCTTTTTTAATGGGTGGCGCAATGGAAAATGTTAATATATATTACTCTTATATAGACTATTAGAAGCTAGTGATAATGTTTTAGGCTATTCGAAAATATACTTAATTTCCGCCAATTATGTTTACTCTAGGACTTTGAATCTTGTGATGGATATGTGTGGACTTGGCAATGTCCTTCCATATTTGCCAAAGCTATCTTAAAGTTCATTTTTATCAATGTTTGTCATTGACCATATGTCAAGTCGTGCTAGAGGTTCTAGCATAGTGTATATGTCCCCCTGGATCTGGTACCTGGGTACCTACCTAAGATCCAAGTCCTTTGGATATTTATCATATCAGTTACTTTTCAATTGTAGTTATCATGATTTATACTGAATCATTAATGAAGGGTTAAGGAAGGTAGTGAAGCATGGAGGTACTATATTGAGATAACTACCTTATACACTACTTAGTGAAATAGATAGAGGGATTCGGAACGATTATCTAGGTACCTATTAACTTAACAATATGTAACCTACACTTTTTTCTTGCTCTTACCTCATCATATACAACAAACACCCAACTCGTTGACTATTAGATCCCAGTTCCACTCAAATCGACCCGGAACAATGAACTATTAACCTACACTCCCCTCGTTTCCCGGTCTCCTCCATAGCTACACCGTTATATATAGTGTATAGCGACGGCCAGCTAGCGTATTATCCTATTCTATAAACATTTTAGTAAAAGAGCATTGAGCTTCGTATAGTAGAATTCTTCGACTACCCAGGCCTCAAGAGCAGCGACTCGTCACAGTTAAAGGGGTAAACTCGTAAAAATGTTCAAGGGAGATTTGACAGGTCAGGCGAAGGGTAACATATATTTCTCTTCAAGTACTCGGAGGTTAAAGTTTTCTATTACTAAACAGACTTCATAACTTCTGGAATTATTCTCGTAGGGCCCCCTCAATAGCCTCACTCAAGAGATATCGCAACCTATCAGAGATAAATGTCTGTCCGATATATATAAAATAGAATAGAATAAAATATATTACCAAATAATCATTTAGTGGTATAATTGCTTGTTTGACACAATCTCTTGACAAGCTAACAAGTCCTCCGGACAGTCTTAGGATTCTCATAACGTTTTATCAGTTATTGCATGTGCAACGTTGCCACACTCGGGGGTATTCAGGTTGAAACTCCTATACTCGCACTTCCGTAATGGAAACTCTTATAAGTTTATGACCTTTTCAACGTCGAATCCATCCGATCCACCAAAGTAACCTTTTTGATTTGTGTAGACTGTCTTGTTTGTCTTCGTATCTGTATAGTCGCAGTTGTAGTGGGTGTGGCCAAATGCCCAAAGTGCCACACCATTATTGCACCAACAATACTGATCACTAAGATCCGTACAAAATCCGGCGATCCTTTTGCTTTCGCGATTCTTCGCTTCTACACTCCTTTCTTCCCGTGTTGGACTATGGTGTGTGAGAATGATGACTTTCCTGTCAGATCCATTTAGTTTCTCTACTTGACTGTTCAACCATTCCAAGTCACGTTTATGTTCCATATTATGCTGTTCAACTGTCCAGTTCTCGATATGATAGAAGTCGTTTAGTCCATAGCTAATGTCATCGATAGATTCGGAAGGGACCTTAGTGAAGAGTGTGCAGCCTAAGATCGTCAACTTTAATCCATTACAATCGATATCATATCTTCTCCTATCGAGAAAGACGAATTCACCGATGGAAGACTGTTTTTCCCGCTCCTGGCTCACTTGCTGCTCGAACTGGAGTATAGTCTGCTTGGCATAGCTCCAACTCGAATAGTAAGGCTCGTGGTTACCAAGAATGAGAAGTACGACGCGGAAGTTAGCCAGCTGTCTTCTTAGGAAAGCGAGGTATTTTTTTTCGTCCTTCTTGACGCAGCCAATATCCCCTAGAAGAGCGAGATATGGTGAACGTGGAGGGATTTCAAAGTCATCATAAGTATTATAAGCCTCTAGATGGAGGTCAGAAAGTATTTGGATCGTGGCCATTGTCAAGATGAACAGAACTTGTAGGAAGACTTTGAAGTGGGGTTGTGTTAAAAATAAAGGCAACAGTTTTATGCCGTACTAAACTAGGGAGACACTTAGCCTAGGGAGAATTTCCATGTGGCACTTCCAACAGTAATTAGGTGCATGCTAGCTCCATCTGTGGAGGGTGGGCTTTAAAAGGTGTGTGTTAGCAAACAAAGCAACTCATTCGTACCGCATAACCCTATTCAGACAATCACTCCCCCGATTAATACTTCTAGACGGATTAACAATCCGACTTAAGCTAGGTACTGAATAGGAGGAATATAATTAATATACGCGTACTTAAGTACTAATTATAAAATAAACAACATGCACATAAACACATACAAAACCATAGCACTCTAACTATTACCTAAAACATAGTGCGAATGATTCTTTATATTACAGTATTTCGAACAATGTCCAGCTTTGGCTTTATCATATCATAATGGAATTATATTATAGTAGTTGTATTTTCAAAGTTAACTGCCTCTGGTAGCTGAAGGAAACCTTGAGATCTTACGGTAAACTCAGAAACATCAGATGACCTAGGCTTATTTGAACGGACCTGGGCATAGAAAGCAGGAATAATAGCTTGTGATGTGAAGATGTCACGGTTGCTACAAGAGTCAGGGCCTTCATCCTTTTGTGCATATAAACAAGGCCTTGCAGCTTTGCTGAAAGGATCTGATATGCTGGAGAACTCGGAACATCATATTCACTGAATGGCACTTTGGTTTCAACCTTGTGATAGAAGATTATATCGTAAGTTGTTTAGTATAATGACGAAACCTACCTTCAACTAATTCCTATAGTATAAGTCTCCAAGATCAGCCTTTTTATGATTTAATGTCTCAGATACACAATAAAGGTCACTTGATGGATGTAGTGCATTTTGAATTAAAATGTTGTTAATTGGCTTAAAGCTCAACTCGCCCCATACATGTATTTTTCGAGTAGAGTCTATTTAAATAATTGTATTTATTAGTCTATGACCGGAAATTACAAACAGTTATTTGCATGATGGTGCCTATAATCGACATCTCCATCAAATCGATAGTAATAATTGAGAAATGATCCATGGCGCTTGTTATACCATGATAAGTGGCAGTTCGAGATGATATTTGTATAGAATAGACAAGTGTAATTAGAATATCAGGGGGTTCCTTTTGAAATTAATAAAACGCTCTAAAACTAATGTAGTTTTGTGAATAATCTTTACATACCGCGACTGAGCTTTCTCTAAATCCTTAGGTACATCTTAAGGAGGTAACCATGAGCTTTAAGCCTAGCTTGAACAATGAGCAGAGATATTTAATAACTCTATCTCAGGGACGGTCGGTAATTAACCAAAGGTAACTAGACTAAGATATGTATATTTATTATTTTAATGCAGTGAGCTACTAAGTCAAAGTCAATAATACAGGTTTATTGATAGATTAATGTATGATACGGAGCATCAATATAATGGTACAGAAGCAACATTATTCTATAAAAGCAGGGGGGTCTTTCAACTTCGTACCAACTTCGTACTAACTGGCCTGACCCGTCGCCTAACACCCCTATCGCGCTTCGGAGACAACTTCTATAACACCGACCTCCCAGATCTTCATGGCACGTTACACAATTTATCATGCAGTTGAAAAAATCTGGAAGTGAACTGCTTATGTCAGCTCTACAACTACAATGGCTGTGTGTTGATGGAATTCTAGTCTGAATAGTTAATAATCTTCAGTTTACTCCTAATAATAGTGAGTAGCCAAAATACGAAATATAATGAAAGATTGGTTTAAATAAATTTGGATCGATCAATGCCGCTTTATTCTGATATTATTAAATTCGAAAATATATTAATGAAGCTCAGTATTGTATCGAATATTATAATCAGCATTTTCTAGTGAAGTTCACAAGATTAAGAAAGCTATTTTCGAGTTCAAACTTTTTCCTTGTTCCCTTTACTTTCCCCTATGCCGAGACAAGTGATCTCGTGGGGGCCGCTCTGTTCAATTGGAGGTCTCCATAATCCACGTAGTAGACCGCTATTACTGTGTACACCAAACAGCGCCCTTAAAGCTAGACCGACTGAGGTTTTCATCCTCGAAAGCCCGCCCAGGAACTCAGGGATCCTAAACCTTGCTGACGCTTCCCTACGTTAAACCCTTTCAGTCTAGGATGAGATGGTCGAAGTATCACTATTACCCTTTAAGCGCGATTTGCATCATTGATGTAGGTACGTTTCGTCGTGAGGATCGCAAGCCTGTTGAATTGTGAGTTGGCCAAGAAGTCAAAAGATATGGATGGGTTTGCTGCGCTGGCGCATTAGACGGTGAGATAGTGTGGAAAGACTCGTCGTCGTTGGCTTTTTAAGGGATATGATGTGCAGCGCTACAACTCTGAATCGCTGTTAAGATACCTAATATATCCTGTAGTTCAACCCAACCATGTACGTGGTACCATTCTATTCGCCTTTGCTGGCTCCCCCAAAGAAACTTGAGTATGGAACACGGCTATTAGGTATTAGGGTTCTTGTCAAGCTGTTCAAGCGACCTTCGAACGCACAATAGCATACCGGAATCAAATGGCAATTAGAGTAGCCAAGTAAGCTAGGAGCATCAGAGCGGTCTGAGATTCTTGGAATGTAGCGGCTCAACTTACTAGTCGCGAAGGGAAATTGTATGAATATCTAAATTCCCTTTTCCTCTGCCCAGAGCCTTTTACACGCGCCGTCGATATAGAGTAAGAGGACCGAGCACTGGTCATTTTAGAAGGGATATTATGCGGCGCAGCCCGGGAGATAAGGGTATTACACATTGACCGACCGGGGAGTTTCCACTAAATACGGTTACATAGTATTGGACCATTGCGAATCGTAATTCTTAGTATTGATTGGATACCAAGTAGCTTGAGGCTATTCGGACCCATATATGGACCCATCTTCCTCGCGGCCTGTGCGGTGTCTCCTGGTTACTGCTGATCATCCAGACTCTTGGGTAATCAGCCCCTTGCGCTTCGGGTCTGCCCAGCCTTGCTAGAACCCGGATTGCTCGGAATTCGCGCCGGTGATATGGCACGTACAATTTAAGGTAGAGGTAACTAAACTACAACAAGCTTAAACAGTTCTCTTGGCCAAGTCGGGGCCCAGCTAAGTCATAGAAGCTCGGGGTATTGATTACCGCCGTTCTTAGCTCAATTGATGCCAAGGAGACCGTTGATTATGCAGTAAGAACCTAAGCTTGGTTTGGTGATGCTATTCTTATGGGCGCGGAAGCGATTGCGGCAGTCGAAACATCAAGGGTTCGAATATAGTGTCAATCGGAGATAGTTACCTACGTAATAATGCCAGGAAGAATAGAAGATTAGGGTCAGCTTAAATCAACTATAACGAACCTATGTACTTGGTTTATCCTTGCTGGAAGTACTTGTTATCATATTATGGTTGAATGTGTTTTTGAAGCATTCAATGGTGATAGCTGCTTGATGCCTTCAACACTTTCCTTCATGGTTCCTCTCATGACTAAGAGCTTACTAGTGCGTAAAGATATGCACACGAATGTGCCGCGCGTCTGAAGGAGGGAGCCTGAAGGCATTGTGGTGCTATTGACGTGTGATGTCGGCTGAATTGGATTATGCTTAAGAAAGATTTTTTTTTTATCTAATACATACAGGTATGTAACGAGGATCACTACTACTGCTACGGTTAGCTCTCATTTTAAACTCCGTTTGTTCTAAATTTGTAAAAACGGTCTATAAACGGTCTATACATATGCGTAATGGTAAAACGGAATCCCAAAGACCTTCAATAGTGTATTCGAGTTCCGTGGTAATCAACTAGTTCTAGACTGCTTGGTATCTGTTGCTGAAGCATATCAGTGCATTCGAGGTTGCACCAACGTATGCAGTAACTACAGTTATCCTACTTGGTGTGACAACAATAATAGAGCTTACATTCAAAACCACCTCTCTAAGCAGTTGGTTCTTGCGAGTGTCACTGTAACGACTACAAGCAGGTGCTGTCGTAGTAGTGAGAATGCATGGAGCTGTATGTATTATCTAAGAAAGGCGGCTTGCCAATAAGGAGTGGTTATTGGCTACTCGATACGACAATAAGTATGTGATCTTCAACGCACGAGGCGTAACAATTGCAACAGTTCTGCATTCCTTTCTCCCGTTTGGCATTTGTTAGTATACCTACCTCTCTACGTTAAGCTGCATTAGTATCATGTGTATAGCATCATATCCCTCGATCATAATAGGATAACGTTGGAACTTATAAATGATTATTAAGAACTTGGCATTGAAGATCAAGAAGATGGCAAACGCGTGCCGGGAAATCTATCACTACCTGTTTTTCTATTTCTCTTTGTTCACTTTGTTCCGGCTAGGGGTTTCTATTTATTTACTTTGCATCTTATTCATACTTTTTCGTGTTAAGAATAGATGATGCACCCGAACCATTATAAAATCAGACTTTTGAGATGGCGTAATCCAAGCTAATAATTCTATTAGTGGCTAATAAGAATGAACAACGTTCTTGAATTCCTCAACCTCTGGTTTGGAAATGATTAACTACCTACCAAACCTAACCTAACCTAACCTAAGCTTGAATCCTATAGTATTCAAGAGCTTCAATACTTTAGGTATTTAGGTACCTTCATTCCGAGCACCGGGACCTCGTAGTCTAGAATGCCACATTGGTATACGATCTCGTACCCGTCAGTTTAACATTGTTCTTTCAATAGACTCAACTCTGTAATTTAAACACCATGTGTCGTGCCGAATTACCCTTACCACAGTGTTGGCTATACCGCTCACTGTTTGCCGGCCTTCTAATTCCAAGCCCTAGGATTGGTAGATTCTAAAATTTGAAGCCTCGATGAGTTGGACAACTGGGTTTATATCAAAGTGGACCTCTTGGTAAAATGTCAAATGCTTGCAAGAGATAGATCATTGCAGGGTCTTTGTCGTGTTCTCGAAGGGCTTAAATGTTTTGACCGCTTAGATCTGAAGTTGACAGAACAAGGATTGATCAGGGTGTTACTGTCTCTAGAATGTTTTGCCTAGATCCTTCTTCCATGCTGTTAAGTAAACCGTTGCCGTAATAGGTAAGACGACAATGGCATCGCCGAACTCACTGCGGCGTTAGCCGAATATGTAGGATCATTTATTGGGGGAAAATCTTTGATTGTTCTCTGCATCCTGTTAATTTCACGTGACAGAGTCTTTGCCCTCGTATAGCGTATGTAGATCACCTTGGTCCGCAAGGGTTTGGCATGATCTAGATTGTGGGTATTTGGTATTTGCGCGATACTAGTATAGGTATCGTCATAGAAGAGCCGAGAACGCATCGCGGGGATCCAGGTACCATCGATAGGGGAGGCATATTTTGAAGTTTCGGGACCTTGTTCTTGGGTAATGGAATAATGGAGTGCATATGTAGAAGCATATCCGGCGGAAGGAATAGTGTCTCGGCAGAGAAGAGTTGTCAACTTTAAAGGCATCGGTCGCTTCCGGGGAGATGAAACATGCATGACAGATGTCCTAGCCGAAAATAGGAGGCCGTCTGATAATAGAAGTGCGGTGGACCGTGAGCCAATAAAATGATCTGTCGCCTTGCGGCATAGTGACGGAAAGGAATGTTGAGACTCGGTCCGCCTGAAGTTAAGCTTGAATATGCCGAGATAAACAATGGTCAATTAGCACCTGGACGACATCCCAGTCTCTTCTCCGTCGTCCAAACCAAGCCTGCTACTATGCAGATCTCAGGGATAGCTTCAAGCTTCGACGAGACAATTGCTTGTCTCTTAGGTTAGAGACTGAAGGTGAGATGTTTTAAAATGAGTTGGGATATTGGACAAGAAAACTCCTTATTTCTTGTCACCGAAACGATATCTACGCTACCCATTTCAATAGTTGCAACAAGGTATTTGACCTGGATGAAAAATTTCTTAGAGTCTTGATCATCCTGTCTGGTCTGATTCGAAGATATATGATTACAGTCGATCTATTGTTAATGGTCTGGACTAGGGAATACGAAGGGTCGATTTCTGGGATTAATTCTTAAACCTAGTATAAGGTTGATATTGTCTCTAGTGGCCCTATCTTGAATGTTACGATTATTTTGAGATTAATGGTAGAGTTCTCCAGATATATCGATTGATGTCTTGGTCTATAGTTGCATTAATGTTTTCGCACATTGGAAAAAGGGGAATACATAGTATAGTCACCTAGTTAGCTCGAGTTGTATGGCTTATAAGCTTCGGTCTATAATATCATTCATTTGTTATTTCGTGATTATTTTTTCGGTCTGACTATACTCATAAAATCATCAACCTGGACGATGTTGAATCGACACTGTGCTATCACACTTGAGTAGTCCTGCATATGATTGTTAAAATATTGATGCCAAAGCGCGAAGTGAATCTGGTGATAGTGTTGTTGACAATCGGCATATGTGGAGACGTCAGCTCGCGTCTCGAAAATTTCGTTCTGTCGTATATCACACCATTGTATTCGCTGTAAATCTGATATAATATCTGATGATCCAGTCGATTACTCATTTAGGAGGGTGGTAGACGAGTAAAGTAGTAAGCTAGTAGAGGCGATGATACACTACCTTAACCGAGGACTTCCAATGTAAGGAACTCGGACGAGTGCATATTAAAATCTCATTGAATCTATATGGAATTTATGGTAGCGACCCAAAGATTCAAGGATGCGAGGATGCGTTCACAAGGTTTATACATAGCCAAGTAAAAAAAAGCGAGCGGGACTGAGGTGGAAGAGCGGGTATTTTCACCTAGGTATTCCGTAGATGTGGTTAAGGAGTAGATCCCCTGCCTCGAAGTTTCAAAAGCTGCAATCCTTGGAACAATGGAACCAGCGGTAGAATTTCATTACATAGGTAGTAGTCATTATGAGTTGCATTCATGTGGATGCCTCGTATAATATATAGAGGTACATACATAAGTACGGTACATACTTGTACCTACATACATATCTCGTACATACCTCATACATTATGAATCTCTCTACTTGGCCTACTAAATACATATGTATTGTTCATCCGGCACTATGTATTATCTGGTACTGTCCATAGCATTCTCAATCACGTGTTCAATGGCTCGGAGAGCTCCAGCTAACCCCTTGTCCGATTTTGCCCCCGGTACATCGTGACCCAGGTCGTGAAGAAATACTTCCCTGACTTTCTCATCACAGATTTGGGTTAGAGACTGATGAACTTTAATTTCATGTGCCCCGGCAGTTTGGGCCCAGATATGAGCAGTCGGAATCGTCAGGAGAACCCCATCCGTGTCGGGATCGATATATCGGATTACGCCAGTTCGAGCCTGGTCGGGATCGAAGGGTAAAGCGGCGCAGAAAAACACAGCGCATTTGATACCGCCAAATGAACCATGCCTGGTGTCTTCTACAAGCATCATTGCGGCTACTGTACCGCCTTCGGAAAATCCCATAAACCCATCGAACGGTCCTTGACTCTCGACGAACTCGATCATATTGTCACAGAGCTCTCGATCTTGATCTGCATCATGGGCGACATAACCGAAAAACTCGTCGGCGATCGCATCGGCACCTCGCTACTGGTGAGTCTTTTGCCGCGGGAAAATACGCTCCATCACGGGAAAACTTACCGACGTCGGGCTCGGTTGAGACCGTGCCGTTTACAAACACGAATTCGTGATCCCGGCCGAGAGCCTCCCTGATCCTTACTAGATGGCGGTTATTCCCAGGTCTGGAGCGAAACCCGTCGGGGATGGGGGAGGACAAGGGAAGATACCCGTCTGCATCTCAAAAATCTTTTCAGGTACCATCAGCTTATTTGCCTCCGAGCACGCCATGGGGGAGGTAAGTGTAAATGTAAGTGTAAGTGTACCTGTGCGCTGGTTCCCCTTCCATGTAAACAAAGCCACCTCATTCTGGAGATGGCCGAATCACTTTGCTGTAGACCTTGGTATTGGGTAAAGCCAGCTACGTAAAACCGAGATATGATACGCACAGGGTCTCCAAGATTATACCAAGATTATATGCATAAAAACTTAAAGCCTTAATTTCTCTCCCTGTAAGAAGATCGTCTTCGTCTGAGGTTGAACGTGCTTCGAAAGCCCTAGAAGCATTTAAGCATATCGTTAATAAAGAATTCGACCTGTTTTAAGCTAGGCTTTTGAAAACACTGCGTGCTGCGTGGCTTTTCTTTTCCCACTAACGCCCTATTTTTTCCCTCTTATCTCTCCGCCATTTTACCTACGTGTGTGGGCCAATCCCCGGATCGACGTGATTAAGTAAATAGGTCCCTAGTATATTTATTTCGTGGTAATATGTTAAATCACCGACCCACTACTGTAAGTCATGAGTTAATCAGCCGGTTCCCCGACGTTTTAGGTGATTAGGATGGCTTGGATACCTGGGTTGCTGGCTTGGGACTTTGAATACTTGCATGGGTAGTATAGAATTCCGTGGGTGGTCGCATTTGTTTTGGTCAGTGCATAACGTTGAAATATCTGGCAATATAATGCGATAAAAACTCTGCCTCAAGTAAGCCTAGGGTTACGTGACAAGACTTTGGCGGACATAATAATTCTGATATTTTGTTTATGACGTATAATCGGTAGTCTTACAAGAGTGGCATACTATTAGTCCAATTATAATTCGGTATTGTTCTATAATGTTATTTTCGTACTACTTTTCCTCATTCTTATTTTAAATGGGCTTATGCAAATTTTATGCCCCCAACGTTACATGCAGGTATAAAATAATTTTACCTGTGCCGTTAATGCTTCGGCCTTTTTATTAATGATCCACTATAATGTCACTAAGCTGCATTCAGACCCTGTATTCTATAGCGACTATCTTATAGCTTTCAGCCTGTTAAAGCCTCAGATTTATACAGTTTTAGCGGGGACGTGGCAAGAGAGTGTTTCCTAATACGCGGGCAACAAGGGGTAGAATAAGCACTAGAAACTGACCCATGCGTGGGAATTAACGGGAACGAGTCCCGCTGGACCAGGGCTTCTGGGGAACGATTTTGGATCATGAGTTTCTCACAATGTTTTGCTAGGTTTGGCATAAGAGTTCTTGCTGTAAAGAGTCTGTGTGTAACAAGGGGACCCATGGGGGCCTTTTGGAGGTTTTCCCTTTCCACCAAACCCCTTGTCACTATCAGGGATCTCATACTCTATCTACGATTCCACTCCCCCTTATTCGATCTTGACCATTGGACTCTTTTATATACTTCTAAACCCACTGAATACCTTCGTCTTGCATGAGGTAGACGACACGCAACTCTTCACAACAAATCAACGATGGCGGACGTAATACCCTATCTCCCACCAGACCAACAACAGGCCGCTCTCAATGCGCCAGCCTTACCAGCCCCAGATGGCTTTACTCCCAACTTCGACAACCCTTCGAATAACAACCCTCTGGCCTACGGTGTCATCGCCGCCTGCGTCGTCGTTTCGAGCCTCTGCATGATAATTCGGTTCTATGCAAGGATTTTCCTGTTCAAGAAGCTGAAGCTGGAAGATTGTACGTTCTCTAAGTCGATATTTTCTTCCGTAGGATTCTTTTGCTAACATTACTAATTTAGATATGATTTTACTTGCTTTTGTTGGTCTCTATTATCAACGAGTTCCGTTGCGGCATCACTAATCTTTATCTAGGCTTTCTTCATATTATGGACAGTTTTTGGGCTCCGACTGTCAGAACACCCTGGATACTTCGTTCATCAATATGAAATTCACGTTAAGGATCTAATTCCCTACACATTTGTAAGATTCGAGGTATAGAATTGGATTATCCGAGGAGGAGGCTAATGAAAGTAGGATGTCCACTATGCTGCTATTGCCTATGCAATTACAATTCCGTTTATCAAAATAGCGATCTTAATCGAGTGGACGCGAGTACTTGTTCCCGTCGGTACGCGAAATGCGTTTATGTGGTGCTGTTATGCCCTCATTGGATTAAATATCGCCCTTTTGATCTCGATCCCTATCGCACTATCCCTCATTTGCTTCCCGTACGAGAAGATTTGGGATTTGACGCTCCCAGGAACTTGCAACAACCAGTTTCTTGTCGGTCTTGCGTCTGCTTCGATTAATCTCTTTATCGACGTTGCCATGTTGGTTCTTCCTCAGCGAGTTATCTGGAACTTGCAGTTATCGCTCAAGAAGAAGCTTGGTGTTTCTTTCTTCTTTTCCCTTGGTATTTTGTAAGTTATAAGGATGATAAATTGGTTTATGCGCATAATCTAATCTTAAACCGTGTAGGGCTTGTATTTCGGCTATTTTCCGAGTATCGACGCAAGTGGCTATTGTATCCGAAGCGGACGCGATATACCAATTCGGGCCCGTGATGTTTTGGGCTTTTGCAGAACTCACATGTGGTTTCATCATCGCATGCATGCCTTCTACCCCGAAGATTTTAAAGGACCATGGTGTTCTTGACAAGATGCGCCGGGCGATGAGATCAGTCGTAGGATTAAAAAACACCCACTTGCGGAGTATGACCAAGCCCACCACGTCAACGGCCGCGGACCACACCCACACGAATACGTACAGGAAGATCGACGAGTATGGCGTACCGATGAAGGATCTCCAGCCATCAGAGTCGACAGAACAGCTCAGAGACGATAAGTTTGATCAGGGCATCCTACGTACCACTCGCGTAACCGTGAAGCAGGAGTACGTGAGTGATGCGAAGGGTAACACCATGGATCACGGTGCCCTCTGGCAGGGGGATAGAGTATAATACATAATATTCGTGCTGGCCATGATGGGGTACGATTCACCGGAAAAAGGTTAGCAGGCGCCTTATGTTGAACTTCTTGTACATCAGCGTGTTCGGTTATGAAAAAAGCAAAACTTAATGCATATTAGAAATACGGTTCGTCAAAATTGACCAAGGTCATCTTTTGTATGTAATTATCAAGATAGGCCGCGAAGAGTTAGCCCATAGTTGGGTTCTCACTAAAAGATCTACTGTTAAATAGTAGCATTTTCTCAGACTATTAATTGGTGATGTAAATAAATAAACGAGTCATGGCTTACCTAGAGTATGGTATCTTGTGATATTGTTTTCTATTTCTTGTGATACCAGTGGCTTCTTACTGTGTATGTTGAGACGAGGAATGACATACCTACTCCAGTGGCGTTTACATTGTGACCAATTTTAATTTGATTCGTGATTTTGAAAGATATGCATACATCTCAAACTTGACTACTCGATCAGCGTATTTATATTAGCTTAGTTGAATTCCTCGCAGCTAAATCTATAGTCTATATAATCACGTACATATCTACCCCATATATTTAGTATATCCACCTAACGTAGGTCTCACTCGTCTGGCTTCATATGATGGAGGCATAATCATAAGACCAGTAATATAATGTGCCTACGAAGTGCCATTAGCGTTGTTACAGTGGAGTGAAGCCTAACAAATAGAGCTGCTAAAAATGATTTTTAGTTCCTTTATTAAAAAGGAATCGGGACGGGCCATGCTTACGCGGGGGTCAAACGTTCGAGATCCTCATTTCAGGGGTCCCCTTGCATGAAATGCACTAATTCAGTTCATAATTTGAGCAGTCATAAATTTTATACATGTCTGATTTGTGTCGTATACATACCTACATAGTATGCGAGCACCCTCCCAGAGGTACGGAAAGACGTTTTCGTGATACGTAGATCGAGTTCTACAACGTCTGCATGTGCGTATTTCTTCAATAAACAAGTTTTCCTTGTTCGAAGTGCATAAGTTGACCACTTCATATAAGTGGTGAGATACACATTACTTAATCTCGCTGGACGTAACGCAAATGACACTCTTATTCTTAACTTCCATTGCCAGGCTATACACCTAAGTACAAGGTATATATCATCGCCGACAAGCTATCACCGAAATTATCTTTTAACTCTTAACAACGGTGTCGATACTTTTAACTATTAGCTCGTCGCCTCTATTACATATAATCCACTACTTGTGGGTAAGGTGGATTTTATACTAGTGTCGCTTGTATGAAGAGCTATGTACCTAGGTATGTATGCAGGGGGCCTTGTTCACCCAAAAGGAGGGAAAAAAAGCCGAGAGGATTTATAGCGGTCCCTGTGGGACGGTAGTGGTCTTGGCTTACAGTATTGCCCATGATTTCGGCCGTGAAGATTCCGCTCCGCCATGTATTTACCTACCTAACGTACCGGGAGATCAAAATTCATCACCCGTCTTTACTAGCATAGCAATACTACTAAGTAGTTGTCGTTGTAAGTCTAGGGTACCTTGTGCGTGGGTATTGCCATGGCTCTTACCGCCGAGTATTGTATACATGGGGATTCGTATCAAGCTGAATGATGATGTGTCGGAAACTTTAGACTCGGGACGTTCTAATGCAAAGCATAAGTCGGTGTTTTTCGGGTTTCGGTACGTAGAATAGTTATCATTATTATTTCATATGTTAGATATTTGGTAGTTATCAACATATGGAATCTCCTAATCCTTTTTAGTTGTACATCCATGGAAACTTAGCTTTTATGTTCTTCGTATATAAAATAAACCTCGTGTAAGTAGTCAGAGGTGATCGACTGCCTTTCAACATTAAAGCAAGGTCGCGAAATCTAAACCGGCCGAAGACGGGTAAGATAGTTACCTAAAATACCTTTGAGAGACCCGACGCGGAAAAATTAAAACATTCGGTAACCGTCATTTTGCGCTACTGCGTACTCTATCGAGCCTATGGGGTCTACCATAGCTGAGGACCCATGGACGTGGAAAGTGGTTACAATGTCTTTAACAAGGTTACATTTTAGTTTGTTCTGGGTAGTATGCGTATTGAAGCCTTCGTTTTCACTTGGAACTGCTCCGCACTATCGCTTACGCAGCACAAGGAATTTATAGCTAAGAAATGCATGTTGAAAGATTGCAAACCTCTCCACCTAATGTGATAGATAAGCTCAACTACCTCATACTTACCTACCTACCTACCTATACCCAGGTATATAGTAACTATGATGTAAAAGAAGAATAAGTTCAAAAAGATCCTCACAGGGATAAATTGCAACAGGGGTATTCATAAAGCGAAGTAACCGCACAGACAGTTTAACTTATACTATTACCAGAGCTAAGATAAGTTGTGCCAGCCTGCCAAGTACCTACTTTACGTATTTTACCAAGCTTAAACGGTAAATAATAAATCATTCTTTTACCTAGGAGGTATAAACAGTTTCGTTATCTACCAAAGCTAACCGCTAACCGGGCTCTCTTATAGAAGCACTGCAACAGAACAGCTGCGTGTTGAATCCTACGGTCACGCATGGTGCATATGCTATATGTTTATCCAGTGTAACAGTGAGTGATACAATGCATCATGAGGATATAGGAACCCCGAAGCGTACGTTCCTATCTTCTATGCACGTTGGGAATTTTCCGCATACATATCGTGTTAGTGAGATTATACTTACTTAAGACTTACGTTGATCACACACCCCGCGAACCCGAACCATAAGTTACCTAAGTACTAGGTAGGTAACCTATATAACCGATTACGGTGAACCGGAGTTGCGGGGTGAACCGTTCGGGAATTCTCCACGTTGAAGAACATTCTAACTACCCCTGACAGCTTAAGTACCTCAGGTACCTCTTATCCAAACCTCCAATACCAGTTGGCCAGCCACCAAACACAGTACATAATAAAATAATAACACGTAAGCCTCATTTTCACTACTGATGATCCATTAGTAGGGTTCATGCTTGCAGCGGTGACAGACAGTTGCATACATCGCGGGTAGCGTGTATAGTTTATTTTCATCATTGGTAGCGTACACCGAAGGTGATCAAGACCCCATCTGTTCTCATACCCTTGTTAAGGGTCCCCTGTTCGGGTCCTGATGGCAGCTGGTTTTAAACTCGTCCCGCGAGATCGGCACCCCTGTGCCTAGCTTCCAACATGTAATTTGCCCACTTTCCATCCCAGTAGCCGATAACCTTGAACGAATTGTCGGTATGGCTCACTAAGTTCGTCCCGTACATACACATCATACCTTAGCCCATCCGGCAAGGTTCTGGGATCTACTTAATTAGGCAATACCCGACCTTTTGGTCAGAAGTTGTGGGAATCGGAGCTGCCTGATGATCAAGCGGTAGAGGTAGAGGACAGGTTTATCAAACTCTGACAGGTATGTACACTAGAATCATGAATGGGAGGATAATATATTGAATTTTGGTGTAACTAGACACGATCAATTATGAGTTTATGATTCGTTGCGAAGACCCATAGACTTCTACGCTGACGAAGATTCCATAACGTTCTAATTTCATGTTACTTTGGTATCCTTAGACTATATTATATACCTACCTCTAATTATGTTGCTTTGACGTACGTGGCAGCGAGCAAGACCCCTCGACAAATTATTCAAGTCAACAGTATACGACTAAGTGGATCAGTTCTGGCACTAAGAGCTACCTCCTTCGTGACATGAGTTGTATAATATCTTACGATATTAAGTGGTCTCGGCAAGTTCCCTGATTCGACTGCATCCGGTTAGTTACATGGAAGTGGAAGTATCCGAATCTAAAGATTTTAATCCAAGACGTTCTTTCTTCACCACTCCCGTTTCCCAGGAATATTATGGGAGAGCTGTAACTACGTAGTATAGCGGAAGTTACTTTGGATATCCACACCCACCCTACCAAAAGCCATACCCACAGACATACCCACATTATAACGGTCTAGGTTACGATTACCCAGACTAGCTCGGCCAGGGCAAAGGCGCTTGTGACTTTGTGCGGTGTCTGCTCCAGGCGGAGCCATACTGGGTTCTGGCCCCGGACTGAAACGAATATAGACCGCTAACTGCCGGCCAAGATTCTTTAGTTACTAGAGAACAAGTCCATAGGTTTGCCGTTGGCAGCAGTAGCAGGCCGTTACAGCTAACTTCACACGTAGGAGAATGGATCGTACGTGCCGGCTACCATACCCGGCATCCCACAAAGCGTTGTCATAGTCTACATGAGGAATACATAGCGGCGTGGCCATCCAATGAAATCATATTCCTGCAGTTGGGAGCTTTGCATTCCACCCATGAATACATGATCTGGACTTCCACTCTTCTTCCCGTGGCCGTACGAATAGCGGTTTGACACCTCCCTAGCCGAACCATGGGTGACATCATTGCTGATTGGTAGCCGAATATAGTCTTACCCAGCAGGATGGTCCCGAAAAAAGATACACGTTGAGAAGTATCTCTAGACGACACTTCCTATAAAGGTAGGGTAGTATGCCTGCTCCTAAGCGAAGGCTTTCGAGCATACTTTTGTCCTCCTACCTGGCCACTAGACTATAGCTTTGAGATAAGGGGTCTATTGACATTCTCTGACACGATGACTGACGACATAGCCGTTGTAGGATTTTCTTTTAAACTCCCCCAAGATGTCAATGATGTCTCTAGTTTCTGGGAGGTACTTCAGAATAGGAAGAACTTGATGACCGAGTGGCCAGAGTCTCGTATTAAGAATGGTTCGTTCGAATCAAGCAATGAGAGTAATGTGAGTTAATCATGCTTTATATACTATAAACGTTATCTAATATGATATAGCTTCGCTGTCGGGGAGGTCACTTTATTACAGAAGACCCAGGAGCGTTTGACGCACCCTTCTTCTCCGTGACCGCGAAGGAAGCGGCTTCTATGGATCCAATGCAAAGGTGGACTTTGGAAGCATCATATCATGCTTTCGAGAATGGTGAGTTTAGGTATCGAACAAT